TCCCCGGATTCCCTTCCGGAGCCGCCTTCCCCTCGGGTCCCGGACCCGGGGATTTGGAAATCTCTTCGAGAGAAAACTAACGAGGCCTCCGCGCCGCGCCGTTCCGGGACCGGAGGAGGTCGAGACAAGTCGGCGCGGGGACGGGACGGATTTTATGGAAAGACGTTAAGTCGAACGGTCTCGTCTTATCGGCCCCTTCTCCTCGACAGCTGCTTCCGCTCGGGGATAAAGGGCCTCTCGTCGCGGAGAGACCGTAACGAGAGGTCGCGACGTCCAAGGGGCATCGGGTCGTCGGGGCGGCGGGGTATATCGTTTCCGGAGAAGTCAGCATATTCTCGTCGCGAGGGCCCGCAGAGCCGAGCCGGAGCGGAGCCGGAGCGGAGCCGGAGCGGAGCCGGAGCGGAGCCGGAGCGGAGCCGGAGCGGTAAACCCTTTCAGGGAAGAGGGTCTCGGGCACTCTCCCTTAAGAGGATTGCCGGAGCAGCTCGCGGTCCGGGCGTCTGCCTCCTCGGCCGAATTTCCGGCGTCTTCCGCCAACGTCCGGGAGGCGCAGCTCCGTGGCGAACGAATTCCGACGTCGAGATCGAGCTCGTTGGAGCGCCCGCCCGTTAAATCGATTCGCTCGCCGTTCCGACAACTTTTAATTGGCCGTCCAAGTATCGCGGGAGGAGACCGGAAGTCCGTCGATCGGAGGTACCGAAACGACCGGCCGGACGTCTTTCCGGCGACCCGAGAGACGGGGCGGCCTCCCGCGGATCCGCTGGCGACGGGAGGAGGGCTCGAGCATGGGCACCGAGGGCCTAGGAGGGCACTAGAGAAATCTTGGTAACTCGGCGTAAATGACAGCGAGTACTCGGCATAACGAGGACGCCGACCCCTTCCCGGGGCCTCGCATAATCTCCGCCTCTTGCGCCCTCGCGAGGCGCGTCTACTCCGCGCCCGAGTCCCGGAGGAGCGGCGGGACGCGGCGGGACGCGGCGGGACGCGGACTCGGAGACGGGGACCGAAGCAGCCCGACCCCTTTGTCGGGCGGATCGATGCGAGGCCGGACGCCTGGCGTCTCTCGCGGTCGAATTCGACTTCTTACCCGGTCAAATTTGCAGCCGCTGCGTCGGTGTTTATCGAGCGCAAACGGGTCCGGTCCTCGGCGCGAGCACCGAGAGATTCGGTTTCTTTCCGGGGCTGTTTGTACAGCCGGGACGGGCGGGGTATTCGAGACGTATGGAAAAGTCCGCGCCGAGTCCCCCAGGAAAGTGGTTCCGTTCCGAGCCGCGAGTGCGACGATTTTCAGCAAAGACCCGGGGGGAACAGCCGCCGGATCCGACCTCGTTTTACGATCCTAAACGGTAATCGGAGCGGCGGAGCGTTTCGCGCGGGCCCCTGCGGAGCTCGGCCCCGGACGAGAAGGAGACGGAAAACTCTCCATTTATTACGGTTCGGCATCGGGGCGGGAGAGTCAAAGTCCTCGAAACCTGGGAAACGTCTCCTCTCGTAGAATTTCGAATCGAGTCCCAAACGTTCTCCCCGTCATTTATTCCCTGGCATTGCGCGACCTCTTGGGCGTTTCGTTTTGAGGCACTTCCTGGGGCGGACGCGGACGAAGGCAAATCGGCAAAGGACTCGCCTTCGTCCGAACGGTCGGACCGACCCCTAATCGCCCCATCGATATCCCTCGCGTTCGACCAAGATTTCGCGCTCGCGGCCCTTCCAAATGGGAAGATATCGATCATTTTTTCAAGCGCCCTCTCGTCTCGTATCGGTCGCCGAGCGAAGAGTGCGCGTGGAGGGAGATCTCGTTGGCGGATCCGAAATTCTACGAAACGGCAAGTCTCGACGGCTCGACGCCGGATCGTCGCTAATTAGCTTTATCGGTACTCCCGCAACTCCGTAAGCACCGTAAAGGGGCGAAACGTCGATCCGGGGCCCTCCGCGCATTCATCGACGGAAAGGAAAGGAAACGACTCGATTTCGCGTGGGAAGTCGTTACAAACGATAACGTCTCGACGTTGATTCGTCAACCGGAAACCGCTAATCCGGACGGAGACGCGAAATAAGACGTCCTCCGAGGAGGAGACTCCACTTCCGAGATAATTATTAGAGAGAGGAACGACTTTGCCGGTTCTCGGAAAAACCTCGTCTCCGCCGCCGTGACGCTACTTCCGAAGGCTGATTGGAAATCTTGCGCTAGACCGAACATTCTGCACTCGGGGACAAGGATCCTCCGTCGAGATTCGCGGATGAAACGCGAAATCCGTCGACGAGGCGCGCGACCACCGCGCGGCCGAATTCATGTTCCGCTGGACGAAAAAGGCCCAGGGTCTGGAGAAAGTCGGTCCCGAGTCGACGGATTCCTGCGATTCGCCCCCTACCGGAGACGAGCAAGTAATCTCGGACGAGCCGGAGCGACCTCCGGGCCCTTTGCCGATTCGCCGGATGAAATATTCAACGGGTTCCGGAGGCTCTACCTTTCACTTCCCTAATCGAAAAAAACCCCGCTTTATATTCTCAACTGCACGAGCCATTTGAAAGTCAAACCGTTTACCGGCTGCACCGTGTAAACTTCCGATATAGTCAGCCCTCGTCGACCCTCTCGGGCTGGGCGCGGAGCGTCGCTTCCCGGGGAGCGATCAAACGGCCGATCGCCCGGACCGCGTCGATTCCCGCCGTGGAAGGCGTTAGGCCCGCCGACTCGAAGGCTCCGTCCGGTGGGAGACACTTTGGACGAAACGAAGAGGCGACGCCGGCGTCGCGCGCGCCGCTCGGAGCCTCGACGCTCTTCGCCGGGCCGACCGCGTTATCTTCGTCTTTTCGAGCTTTTCTATCGGGCTCGTTTTTAGGATCGTTTAGTTGCCCGTTAAGTTTTATGGGACTTTCGGAAGACCGCGAGTGTTTCGGCGGGATCGATATATGGACGCCCTTCGTATATGGCTCCGCCGATTACTTCGATCCTGCCTCCCGCCCCCCGGTGTTGGTCCTCCGCGGGGGGACGCGGAACGACCGGCACCCTTGCGGCCCGAATTAAAGGCTCCTCGTGGTCGACCCTATCGACCCTTTTCCAACGTTTGATCCCGATAGCGGGAACGATAACGCGGCCCCGGGAAAGTCGATTCGCCTTCCGGCCGAAGAAAGTTCCTCGGGACGAGGGTGGCAAACCGCGGAGCGTTCGAATCCGCCTTCCATGTTCTCGACAAGTTCCGAAACTCGGAAAGAAGAAGAAACACCTCGACGAAGCCGTCGCGGGTTTCGGGGGGATCGCCCCCGAACTCGGAGCTTTCCAAACGTATGCGCGGGCACCTAGCGAGTTTAAAAGCCGTTTCCGGGCATTCCTCCGGACCGCGATTTCGGCTCGAGGGGGGGACAAAGGGATCGGATTACCCCCTGTCGGAAGTCGTCGAGGAGGACAGGCTTCCGGTGGATCGAACGACTCGATGCCGATGCCGATGCCGAGGCACGGGGGATCGGTCGCCGCCCGGAAAGGAGATTATCTTACCTCGATCGATTTCGCCCAGTCCCGAGTTCCTCGGCAAGGATTCCATCGGGGGGAGAGGGAGAGTCGCTCTCGGGTCCCGTCGACGCTCCTTTCCCGTTTGGTAATCCGTAGCTGGAAACTCCGTGGGTGGTCGCCGAAAGAAAAGACCCGCCCGTCCCGGAGGAGGACTCGATCGGGCAATTGGCCGGACGGTCTAAGTCAAAGGTCCCGCGAGACCTCGCAATTAATTACTCGAATCGCGTAATGCGCGACTCGCGGCTCCCGTCCTCCCTCTCTCTCCCTCTCTCTCCCTCTCTCTCCGACCGGAGCTCCGGGCTAAATCAAACAACGCCCTGCGAATTGCAAATGGGAACTAATTGCGTTCACGCTTTACTTACAACCGCGGTAACGTTTTAACGAGCTCCGGTGCGCGGGCGTTCGTCCCGCGGCCGGCGGCTGTTGCAGTAAATTTAGCGCTCGTAAAGGTCCGACCGGCTGCGAACCGGCTCCGAACCGGCTCCGAACCGGCTCCGAACCGACTCCGAACCGACTCCGGCCCGACTCCGAAATTCGGTAGCCGAGGTCGGAGATTCCGGGAGCGACGCGGCGTCGGTCTCGCGGGTGCGTGCCCTCGCCGCGACGGTGTTGACGAAACCTGTTTGTTTGTGTACCGGCGATCGTTAGCGTGTTTGGTCCGATGATACAATTGCGTGCTCAGCGCAGGATCTACTCGTCCGAGCCGGACGAGTCGGTGTTGGTTAACGTGCACGGACCGCTGCATACGCCGGATATCCGTGTTTGTCCACCCAGGACGCCGGCGAGCTTTGTGCGCCGGGTGACGTTCCGGGACGTCGTCCAGGCAAATTCTCGCAAAGAGCCGCCTTTGCGTCGTCGCGCGCCCCGGCAAAAAGTTCGGCATAGCCGATCTTTAGTCGGGAATAACGGAGTCCGGGTCTCGGGGACCTTTCCGGAAGCCCGATCGGCTTCGTCGACCTCGACGGCGGAATTCGGCGGCCAGAGAGAGCGCGCGCTTCGGTCGCGGACGGAAGCGGCCCGAGATCCTTCTCTTCGGCGAACGATCTCTCCCCGGTGGGAACGGCTGCGGGAAATTCCTTTTCTCTCCTTCGGGCAGGTGGTATTAATCCAAAGTATAAACTAAGATAAGTGGACCGCGGCGGTCTCGGCACGGAAACTCGCCCGGCCGGATATCTCGGATCGCGAAACTAATTCCAGCCTCTAATGGTTCTGCCAATAGCAATTTCCGAAGGGCTGAATAGTGATTTTTCCAAATCCCATGCTTGGCCGGATATCCGAGAGAGGAGAAGCCCTCCGTCGTCGCATTTCCGGGCACTTTCCTCCGTCTTTTGTAGCGGCGATCCGTTCGCGAGTCGCGGACGTGGCCGGCGATCGGAAACGACGGAGAATGGGTTAACGCGTCGCGTGGCGATTCGAGAGAAGAGGCGAGGAGCGTCTCGCCAAATTCCCCGATCCGCGGCCACGACGAAACGATGGACGAGGCATGCGAAAAGGATTCCGCTACGTGTATGAATTTTATTCGAGTTCGCGCTCTGGGGTAGGTGCCGCGTTAGAATCTCTTTCTGTCCGCGACATCGGATGCCGCCAGGATGCCGGTTCGTCGTTTTTATGGATCGTTGACCTTAGCTAAGATGACTTTCGATACGGTCGTCGCGTGCGAGCGAGATACCGTCGCGACCGTAACCGTGATAAAGCGACTTTCTTGACGTATCTTGCGTTCCACGTCTACGATCGGAGAACGCGTTAACCGCAACCGTGTTTGCGGAGCATTTATCGAGCTCGAACCGTTCGAATTCAAACGTCTTGCACTCGATTTCGATAACGACTCGTCGTATCGGCGCCACGAAATGCGTGGCTCTCGAGCGTGCCGTTGAACAAACAATGACAAAGCATCTCTCCGTTCGACCGACGAAACGCTCGAGGACGATCGGCGACGGAAGTCGCGGAGCCTTCACTCGTTGAGCTCCTTTTGGATTTGCACCAACGTCTTGCCCTTGGTTTCCGGAGCGAGACGCATCAGAAGGACGGTGCAAAGCGTCAGAATTACGGAGAAGCCGAGGAACGGCACCGAATGTCCGAATCCCCATTTGACCGCCAGGAGAACGTACAGCTTGACGCCGACCGTGCCGAGGACGCCGCCGACTACGCCCAGGATACACGTACCCAAGGCTTTGACGTCGGTGACGAAGACCTCGGAGGCCAATATGAGTTGGACGCTGACGAGACCCGGCGTGAAGGCGAAGACGTAAACGATCGTGGCGACGAACGGGATCGAGGCGTACGGCGACACGTCCCGTTCCATGTAGTCTCTCGCGTAGAAGAACATACCTACGAGAAACGTGCAGATCGCGCAAAGAAACCCGGAACAGAATATCAGGGGCTTCCTGCCCGTTCTTTCCACCAGGAAGGTCGTTAAAACGGACCCGACGAGCTGAGTCCCCGCCATGGCGATGGTAGCCAGATGATCGGGAACGAGGTCTCCCATCTCCCTGAAAATCAACTGACCGTAGGTGATGATGCTAAAGTATCCGCCAAAGTGATGCGTGGAGACGAATATCAGGAGGATGAGCAGCGCCTTTCGATTTCCGCGAATCGCGAACAGCTCCTTCATCCCGACGCGCTCGCGACTCTTGCCCTTGTCCTTCGAGGAGCTCGTTATCGACTCCAGCTCCTCGGTCACGTCGCTTTTGCCTCGCAGCTTTTCCAAGGCCTCTTCGGCTTCTTCCACGCGACCGACCATCGCCAAGTAATACGGCGATTCCGGCATGAACCAGAAGCTGACCACGAAAGCAACGGAGATTCCCAGAAACACCGACGACAACGCCGGTACCGAGAGGTACGGCCCCACCAGGAAGGCGAAGAAGATACCCAGGTTGAACATGAAACTCACGGCTGCCCCCACGGCACCCCGCAGCTTCACCGACGCTATCTCACCGAGGTACATCGGACAGACGCAGACGGTCCCGCCGAGGGTGATGCCGCTCAGGAACCTCGCCACGTAGAGTACCTGCGGGCGGAGCGATAAGTTGGACACCCTCGGCACACGGGACCGAAAGGAAACGACAAACGCGACCCTTACGGCGACGCTCCTGGCGACGATGATCATGGACCAGCTGAGAACGAGCGGTAAGCCACTCAGCAGCAAGGTGTTCTTCCGTCCTATTCGGTCGACGACGGCGCCGCTGATCGGCGGCGCGAGCATGTGGCCGACGGCCACCAGGGCGGCCATGGTCGAGATCTGCGACACCGTCACCGCGATCGGCGAGTCCGGCGCGGTGAGTTTCACGCTGCTCGGCGAGTTCCATCCGACGATGCACCCTAGGCAGAGCGCCGCGATGGAACCTGAAAGAAGGGAACCCGCTTCAGCGATCGAACTCGTCCCGGACCTCGACCCTCTCGAAGGGGCACTCACAGGAGAAGGCCGCCAAATACTCCCACGTCCTGGAGCCCTCGGGGGCGCTGTACCTTCCCTTCGCGGATTCCTCGGACATCTCGATCGGGCACCCCTCGCGGACCTGCCGAACACTGCCGAACACTGCCGAACACTGCCGGGGGCCCGACTCCTCCCGGCGCCTTTATCGGGTACGCAGTCGCGCTAGAAATCTGATAAGGGACCTCGAGACGGAAGACGGCTCGACGAGGAAATCTGTGAGCAAGCGAGGTGTCTCGCCCGGTGGACGAATCTGGGTCGGCGCGCGGCCGCGATTCTCGGGGACCTCTTCGGGAATCTCCTCTAATATCTCGCTGGATGGTTCGCGAGATTCCCTTGACGTTTCTTCTAACTGGACGGGAGTCCAGGTCCGCCGTACCCATCGCGAGTCGTCGATAACGAGCTTACGGGGTGGAACGTCGTCGGCGCGCTGCCACTGGGAAACGTAGCCAGAAGTGCGTCTGAAGTTTGAGACGATATAGTCGGCACTTTAATGGCGTCGCTTAAAGTGACGGGTGCCGGCTAGATTGCAATAGTTTCCGGGGAGCAGATACTCGCGAGCAAGTACATCCTTGTACTTGGAGTAAAGTGCAGCAATTCCGCGAAACTTGGCGGGCAGGGGCGCGAGCGCGAGCATGCGGAAATCGCGATGATCGGCCGATTCTTTATCCTTCGACGCCCCTTCGCTCCCTTTTTGCCCCCCCTCGAGATCGGATCGAGTCCTTGCGTCGGCGAGAACGCAACGGAATTTTTGCATCGGCTCGGTTTTCGGAGTACGGGGCGAGTGAAATCCTACGAAAGGTTACGAAATGTAAGAGAAATTATCATTTTCTACTTATGAAGCAATTAATGCGAGCCGCAAGTGGCACGGATGCATTTAAAATGAATTACACGCGGTGACTGCATTTATTCCGGCTCTTTTCGAGTATACGACACATCGACCGAGTCCCTTTGACGCCGAGATGACAACGCGACCCGTCCGCGTCCGCGTTTGCGTTTCCGCCAAGTACAATTAAAATAACGAGAATAATGCGAACTATATCTGGGTCAAAGGATTTGGCACGATTCACCCTTTTGGACCCGAAAAAGAATCCGTTAAAGCATACATAATTCAAAGCCACCTCTCCCTGCAGAGATCCGTTACTTGTTTTGCAATCGCGTCGTACGTAGCGTACCAATTAGATAGATTTCCTTTTCGCCGTTTCCACGAGGACGCTTTAATTCCGGTTCTCGTAATCTTTCTTGCCGTGCCCTGTCAAGGCAAATGCCCGAGATTACCGGGCCACCGTGGAATTCACTTTCGACACTAATCCGCAAGGTCGAGTAGGGCCGCGTATCGCCATGCGCTCGGTGAATGAAAATTTTCGAGTACGATAAATATTTCATGAGGATGAGGATTTTTGAGATGCGCATACCGCGACTACCTTTCCGTGTGCGCTCACCGTTCGCGTAGCTCCTGGCCATGTATTTGCCAACTCTATATTCAAGCTCCATTATTTCTCCCAGAAAGTGAGCTGAGAGGACGGTCTACAAAATATGGAAAGGACGAGAAAATGTTAAATACAAACTAACTGGAATCCGAGATGAACATAGGTACAGTGTAGCGTACCGACCGACGAATTAGCAACTAAGGTAGAAGACGTGGAATAAAAGTGGCTTGTTTTCAAAGAGATCGCGTCTTCGTCGTTTCCGTCCTGTAATGGACGTCTACTTGACACGACGTCGGACACGATTACGTCCACCCAAGCGTTGACACCAAGTAAGGAGAAAGCTTCCGATTCCAGTTCCAAATTAGATCCTCTTGAAAACGTCCGATATACTCGGGAAAGATTAAATTATCGAACAGGGGTGCTTGTCCAAACATCGAGTGCCCTCGATATACCTCCCTGGACGGGTACGCGTGTTTGCATGCTTCCCAGTCTTATATTCGATTCCCGACATCAACAGGGCGGAAAGGCAGGAAACTGACGCAAAGTGCCGGCGTGTACGGTAGAAACGGGCTCGTAAGAAAGCGTTCAAAGGCCTGTCAATTACCGGTGGTATCTCGACGGCTGCGACCGACGCGAAAGGCCCGACGGATAGTACAAGAGCAAGCCTCTCGACTCCCCGAAACCGAGAAATTATCTTACAGGTCTAGGAGCCCGATTACCGACTCGTTCCAACGATCGGCGCGTCTTAGCCCGCTCCGAAAATCGCTCCGAAAATCGCTCCGAAAATCGACGCGCGGGTCGGCCGCTTCCGTCCTCTCGTTGCCTCGCGGAAGCGCCAACCTTGTGTACATTCTCTATCTTATCGAGTGCGTGTTTATTTCTCTTAGAGAAACATCCGCGTGTCGCTGCCGCCGTACAGCGGAAAAGTGTTCCAGGGAAACGGTTTGTCCCTCCGTCGCTCGTTTCCCGTGTTCCTGGATTCGCTCGTCACGGGAGACACCTGAATATCGAATATGTCGAGAAAGCTCCGATGGAAGCGCGAGGAGCGCAGTTACCCCTGTCGAGAAGAATCCCGAGGCACTTAAATCGATCGACCCGTTCGAAGGAGGTTCGCCATTGATATTCAGTGGCTGCGTTTGGCTTTTCCAACTTTCCAGGAATTTTAAACACCGCGGTAGGACGGCTCCGCGGTCCTCAAAGATCCTCCGAATTTTTTCTACGAGGTACTTTGCCGTCCGACCACCTCCCCGCGCGACGCCGACCACGGACGAAGGAGGACGGAGGAGGACGGAGGAGACAATGGGGAGCGCGCGGCGTAGCGTCCAAGGGTGCTGGCGTGTCGGGAGACCATAAGAAATGATAATACACTCCCGGCATGGGTAAGTAGAAGAGCGCGTATACTTCGGAGGGGATATTTATACCGGGCGTCGCGTGAGCACAAAGCGAGCCTCCACCCGCTTCTTCCTGGGCTTCCGCCAGCGACTGCCGTTCCGTCCGAGCGGCCGCTGTCCGTTTCTTCTTGTCGTAATTCGCCGGATTATCGTCGGGATCGAGCAACTCGATCGGGACGAGCGCGAGAGTGGGAAATGATCCACTCCGTTTGGGGTAAATGCCTCCGGATGAGGAAAGCGCAACCTCGTCCCGTGACGTCGACCGTTCCGAATTCTGCGGAGCGTTACGAGCGATCGTTGTATGGTAGGAAAAGACCATTAAGCCTAGTTAACGAGCGTCGAAACGCGTGAATTTCGTCCGTCGGCTTTTCCAGCTTCGGCGTTTCTTTAACGACTCGCTAGCACGGGTATACTCTATCGACCTGGCAGATGGCTCCACTCGACCTTAGGATTTAGTACGCGAGAGGTCCGCCGCGGTGGCGAGCATTGCTCCATGCGAGGTCTCGAAAAGTTTCGAAGGTAGGCCGCTAGTGTCTCAACCAGAGATGAGTTGGGAGATTGCCATAATGGTAAGCCACCACCGTCAACTGCCGCATGGTATTACCATCACGAATACGTGAACCGCCAACGGCAACTGGTAGATGGCACAGCCATCGCGATTGCGCGAGCCCCTACCAAAAATTCGTTGCGCCGCCCTTGGGGGCAAAAAACGGTGAATGCTAACGTACGAAACCAGAGGGCAGATGCGATCGCGCGACGCTGCCCGTGAGCAATCTCCCAACTCATCTCTGGCCGTGGTCACTCTCGTATTTCTGTATTCAGAGCCGAGCTGCAGCGAAGGGTAAAGAGTGGCACTCGGAGGTTGTTAAGATTTTGCCATTGTACGGTTGCGTTTAAAAAACGGTTCGAAATGGTGTCTACATTTTTTCCGTATGTATTTGGGCTTACGGTCATATCCATATTTGCGTTGACAAATTGGAGAAACGGAAAATATTATTTGCTCTGTTCATCGCCGGCGAACGCCATTCATTTTCGGACACCCAAGAGAATTACTAAGGACGTAAGTAGTTTCTGGTCCTAGGTGTTAAACTTTTGAGACTTTAGACTCGTTAGTGTCTAAAAATAATGTTTTAACGAATTATCATCGGATTTACACATATTCCCGCTTAAAAATAAATATCTAGCTAAAGTAAAGTGAGGTTATGATCGTCAATAAAAGTAAATTATCCATTATAATTTGACCATGTTAGTTGTTTCAAATTAAAATAGTTAACTTCAGTCCGTATCAAAGAACTTTAAAGTCTTGACATTTTTTGGATGCATCGAAATCATAACTGTCGTCTCAAACCGATATCGACATACGTTTCCAATTTGTCTACTAAAATAGATGACGGAGTTGTTTGGCAACTCGAAGATCTGTAGATCAAATTACTGGCGTAAAATTTATTTTACCATTTAACATTTAGTATTGTTATGTATGTTTTCGTTGCAGGGCAATATAGTCTATGATTGATAATAATGTAAAGACAAGGTATCGAGAAGAAGAAAGCAAATAGGACATCACCTGGGAGTCATTGATTCGAGTCTAATGATTGTACTAGATTCGTAGTTATTGTTATTAAGAAATGTATTTGTTCTTCTTCCAATAGATAGCGAAGCACGAAAAAAAGAAATTTGTTCCATGTAGAGATTAATTCAAAGTCCAGTTCCCTAGATGTATAGAATGTCTTTTCCAAAATGTTTCTTAATTGTTAGAAAAAACTTTCTAATATTATCAATTGTTTCGAATCGGTTCTGCCGTGAGGTCGATTAAAATGCTTACCTCCTTTTTAATACCTTCATTTTGTTCCTTGTGACCACGTTTCACCATCCAAAGATTGCTCTAGAACAAGAGTAAGTATCGTGTGGGTATGCGTAAAGATGGCAGTCGTATCTTTGACGTGAGAATGTCTTTCTTCCCTTTCGATGCTAAGTTTTACTAGGTTCTCAGTTAAGGACATGCTATCCGATTTCTGTGCCTGCTTCCCATATACATTATATTATATTCCCGTAACGCTTCCTCTATGACCGTACGGAAACGTTTTGCGTTTAGAAAAATGATTTAAAGTCAAAAATCATTCTTTCTTTTTTGGCAAATCATTGTGATTCTTCCCTTGAGTTTTTCAATGAATAGGAGATTATACAGAAATGATTTAGACTCCCATTGTCGACGAGCCATTCAACCGGTGAAACAGAATTCGTTTCTCTCAATGATTGACGTTTAAATGGAACGAGCTGTGATTCTTGATAGAATCGAAAATTCCGTAGTTGCCTCATTTGACAAAGCGTTGCTTATCTTGTCGCCATCAATCGGAGCGGTTACGATAAAATAAATCATTTGGAAATGCTACCACGGCGAGCCATAATAGGACCGTCCACGGGGTACATTGACGCGTAAATCTGGCTAAAAGTAACGTCGAACTAAAAATGTTAGGGATAGACCTGGGTACATACACGATTCGTGTGCACTACCTTGGAAGTACGACGTACGCCTGTTTCGTCTTCTATCTAGATTTTTCGAAGCGCATTCCCTCTTCTCTTTTCTTTTCTCCCCCTTTCCGTTCGCCTCTTCACCATTCTGCTAAGGGGAGAAATACCTGAGAGATAAATTAAGGAAGAATCATATCGGAAATGTTTCTTGGTTTATATTTTCAATAAATTCGAAGCGACCGTTGCCATAATCCGGACAGGTTTGCCAGAATCACGAGGATTTATGCCATGGAAAATCTAGTGCTAGTATTTCCTCAAAGAATTGAACTTGTAAAACGGATCTAATGAATATCCTAACAGACTTTGGTATTTCTGCTTTTAGAATGAATCATTCGCGGCACGAAATCGTGTAACGCTTTGTTCGATCTTGTGCAACTGGAACGCGTGAAAAGACACTTGGAAATGAGGAAAACAGAAATAGCGGACTTTCGTATATTTCATTTTTCTTTATAACCTAAACTATTGAGTCAACAACGCGAGAAACGAAGACAGCTATCCTCTTGTAAAAAATCATATCAATTGCAAAGTTGGACGTTAAAGTGACACGCTCACGAGGGACAGAGTCGCATGTCCGGCGAATAATTACAAGGAGAGATGAAAAACGTTCGCGACTTCTGTTTTCTTCGGAGACATCACTCAGATTTCGATCATGCCCGGGCTCTCGCATGCCCGTTCGTTATTAAATATATATTAAATTTGAATATGTATCGCATTTTAGTACGAAGATGCTCGTGATCCCGCGACTGAAATGCAGTAGATAATGTCTTACACACGCACGTCTATAGGAATTAGAAATGAACGGAGTAGGACCGGAGTGGATGTCAATTCTCAACGACGATGTCGGTGACGGTAGAGATGACCATTTGGGACTCTAGGACAATGTATCGTTACATCGCAAAATACACGGCACACACGCCGCTGCCAGTTATTCCCACTCCTGATTGTAATCTCGGCATCGATATCGCAAATCATTATAAAACCTTCAGTTTTTATTGCTCCCTCGATTACTTGTGCAAATCAATTAGAAGTTTCGATTTGATCGAGAACGACTCTCTGGCTGTCGATCGAGGCTTAACTCGCCAAGAGAAAAGCATCGGTCGATGATGATTCGAAATCCATGTCAATTGCATTGCGCGCTATTCATTAGCCATCTTTAACGTTTAATATCTAGTGAATGTTCGCGGTTGCGGAAATTGATGGAATTCGTTAAGTGCTAAGAGATGCATGACCGACTGCACATAGAAACGAGTACGTTTAGACAATGTGTGTGTTTCTTTCTTATGTCGATACGAATAAAATATAAAACGCGTGAGGCATGCAAAAATTATGTGTAATCATTTTTATAAGTGTTCGTTTGTACAGTGTAACGTGCTTTCATAGATGGACTTCCATAGATGGTTGGCATATTTGGTGGAGTAGCTTTTTCGGCGTACGAACCCTCCCATTTTTGTCTCGGAATATTCTACGACGATAACGAGGGAGAATTACTGACAGAGTGGTTTGTGTCTCACTTAACCTGAACCTTTCGAGCCTTTTCAACGATTAATATTTATGCCCCCATAGAGATGAAAGGAGACTGACATTAAGGAACGAGAATTCCATCGTCGTTCCTTCGAAAACTGCTTATCAAAACGTGAATATCGGTAAATAAAATTGAAATTAATTAGTTAATATACAAGTGTTCTTTCGTTCCGAAATGGCTTGAAAAGTTCCGAAGTTCCTAAGATGGATCCCCGAAAAATTACTCGAAGAATGCAACGGAGGATTTAGGTGAAAAAGAATACGATACCGAAACCAGGACGAACTTGACGGTACTTTGTCAGGTCAAGATAAGAAACCCAATTTAAAAACGGTTTTATCTTAACGATACTTCCTCGTTACCGATCCGTTGCGTCCTTCGAGCCTCAACATTCTTACAACGTCTTCGACCCATGTTGCAATTCTGAACTATCTAACTAGTCTTACTTCAGTAGTTTAATATAATAATAAACCGCGTAGAGGCTCGTTTTCGTTTAAGGTTCATCTACAAGATGTAATGATATGGACACGGCACAATGATCAACGGTGTGATGTATATACATATATATGCACACAAACACACATATATATATATATACATACATAATATTTATATATGTATAACTTTGTCTCCCGCCAACTCTCCTCCCTAGCCACTTATAAATTAGTAGGTTACTCGTTGCGACCCTCTTTCTCTCCCCTACCTGATATCTTCTAATCGCCCAACCGCAACGGATCCATGTACACGAATGATGTACTAACGTACGTAAAAGTACACATTTTACAGGTCTCGCAACGTCTCTCCCCCTCCGTCTCACGTGCCCTTCTTCCCCATCGGCTAATGTAAAAACTAAACCGTCCAATTGTAGCCTGTTAAAGATTTACGGACGACGTAAGAAAAGACGTTTCCTCGACCTTTCGTCAAAAGGAATTTCTCAATTTCTCATCGTGGAAATAAATGAACGTCCTCGGTGGGAAGCTCGCCGTGAACGAAGCCGACTGCGCTCCCTGCAGGAGCCACGTATCCAGGTGATAGCTAATCGCGACCCTGTCCCGCATCGACGAGATCCCTTGATTTCGAACCGTGTTTCTTGGCCCTCGCGGTCGACGCGAAGTTTCCCCCTTTGCCGAGCATTTCCTTCGCGTTGAAATGTGCGTGTTTGACTCGGATACGCCCTCCTGGACCGTCCTCGATTCGTCTCCGTCGAATTCCCGTAGGACTCTCTACCTTTCTCTGGCAACGGCTCTCATTCGCAGGGTACAGGCATTCCCTTGGTCTAGATTAACGTTTAATCGGACACACCGTACATACGCGCCGCACGATTCCTCGAGCTTAGTATTGTCAACGGTTAGCCGTTCCCGGTAACGGCGTCGCGTAAACGGTCGGTTCGGAAAGCCGAACTTTCGCAAGCAGCGGGGCACGAGCGCGGAGAACGGCTCGCTTACGAAACGCGGGAAAAGACCGCGGTAAACTCCGACTTGGACGAACGGAACGAAACCGCCGGTGCCTCCTGTCCCTACCGCCTCCCTGCCGTTCGCCTCTTCGTCGACTTTGCGATTCCCCCGGCCGCGGTTACGCGCCGTAATCGGAGAGCCGTCGCTCTCGATTCGAAGTGGAAATCGAAAGTGTCCCGCCGTTCGTGACGGTCGTGTGACGCGTAGGGTATGACGCGTGCGGTGCTCCCCCGCGCGCGGGACCGTATGCCTAAGTTTAAAGGGTAATTATCACAGAATATACGAGATATTTTTGTTCTTTTCTTGTAAGCTTACGAGAGATTTTTAATAAAGCGGAGAGCGGGAGGATTAAACGGCGAGCAACGGCGTCGAGGCGACTCGTTTTACCGAGGTTTCGACGACGTCGCCCGCCAGGTACAAGTTGCCAGCCTCGTGTCGTAATAAATACGTAATTAGTTAGGCAGCGGAGAAAATAGACACTCTTACAAATGAACGATGACTACGAGACCGCGCGCGCCGGACGCGTTGCCGACACTTTTGAGACCGTCGTGCGTGCGCGTCGCGATTCCGGGCACTTCCGGATTCTCGGACGCGCCAGGCGACGTCCGGGGACGCCCGGGGACGCCCGGGGACGCCCGGGGACGCCCGGGGATGCGGATCAAAATTTTCCATTCAACGTCGGATGCTTCCGTTGGTCGAAACGACCCCCTAACGAGCCGGTCGATTCGTTGGAACGGTCGGAATAACGATTTAACGCCCGCGTTTGATCCGGGTGCCGCGCTGCGCCGCGCCGCGTCGACCGAGAACGGGGTAGGCACGTTTTCTCTCGCCGTGTCCGGCTAAGTTTTGCTTTAGAAAGAAAATCTGCTCCTAACGGATTCCTAATTGGACTCGATCGTGGGTTCGAAAGAACCGGTGAACCAACGGTTCAACCGAAGAGAAAGGAAAAGAGCCACGACGACGATGGCCAAACTCGCGTCGGCTCGCGCGATCTCGCTCGGTTCTTTACGATGAGGACATAATTTACATTAGAATGCCTATTATTACTAGCGGCGCGCCGTGAATATCGTCAAGACGCACCTATTGGTCGTACGCAATGCTACCCTTAGACTGTATTAGAAAAAACTTTTTTTCGTCAACAATTTCACGTATCTACAATAAATAAACCGTCCCTCCAGCAGCGCTCGAAGCGTACGCCACCGACCGACTACTTTTCCGCCGGTGAAAAGGTATCTCCTCCTCGTACGCTCGAACGTCTCCACGCGTAAGTCTTTAGATCCCGCTCGCGAGCTGCTCGCCCGATCGAGCGACGTCTCGTGGGGATCGTCCTCGATTTCGTGGACGATCCCCTCGAGTCCCCTCGTTATTTCTTCCGTCTTTACATATACGAATATTACCGAATATATTGCGTACTGGCAGCACTGTTTTCGCGCGTTCGTCTCGGGCGGCTCCCGGAAGGCAGAAATCGTCCTTTCGCGCACGCGACGCGAAGAGTCCTCGACTCGGTCGCGCTTCTTGACGACGTAACCCGATTTCCGTCCTCGGCCCCGACTCCTTCCGCCCAGCCCGCGTCGGCGGTCGGCGGCGGTCGGCGGCGGTCGGCGGCGGTCGGCGGCGACGGCACCGACGAGGTTCCCGACGCGGTCGCTCGGTCACGGAGAGACCGCGCGTGGTCCCCTCCTCTTGGCTTCTCTCGGTTCCGCCTGGTGGACTCGTCCTCGTCCGTCGTCGGAGCTTCCCGTTTCGAGCCCCTTGCAATTTAAGCTCCTTCGGGCTCTTTCGAAGCCCGATGGTCACGTGGCGTTCCTGTCACTTGGTTTCCGGTGGCGCTTCAGGTGGGATTCGGCTGGGGATTTTCCTGCCTGATGTCGCTCTTCAGCTTGACGAATTCCTTGGCCACCTCGTCGTTGTTTCGCTGCGAGAGAATCCTCAGAATCGTCCAGCCCGTTTCGTCCATTTGGATGCGCTTGCCCAGGGACAGCCAGCAGGCGCAAGAGCCTTGGTCCACGATGTCCTTGAGCTGCATCACCGCCACGCCGACCAGCCTGTCCTCGCGAGCGAAACAGTAGTCCTTGACGCATATGTGCAGCTCGTAATAGTCCAGCTGCTCTTCATTCCCGATGATGCTAAGAAGGAACATAGGGTTACGGCTCCGGGTCCGATGTACCGGGTAGGGCGCACACGAAAGCGATATCTTACAAATGAAAGGTTTCGTTGAACTTTGGCGACCAGTTGTTGCTCTTCGACTTCGTCGCGTGCTTTCTCTTCTTGTCGGCGAGATACGGCCCGATTAGGTTGACTTCGACGAAAGGTCGGAACATTCCGGGGGCGACGGGCCACTTGAGATCGTTCGCTGCTACCACTGCGGGAAATCGATAACCGAGATTAGTCCTAGTTTATCGTGATAGGGGACGGAAAGACAGACGTACCCTTTACGGTGACTTTGTGTTCTCCGGTCCCAGGGTGGGTGAAGAGGTCCACCTGAATGCTTACTTCGCCCACGGAGCCCTCGTCCGACCCAGAGGTGTCTGAAAATCGAAACGAACGTCTCAGGGACGATCCCCCGACGAGGGCGGTCCTCTAGCGGGGACCTATCGTCCCCTGCGAGTCCGCTCGGGAGGAATCTCGCTGGGCAACTACTCGGCTACTTTCCGGGCGGGGTTCTTTAAGCCGCTACGCTCGAGCGGGTCAACGAACTGCATGCTCTCTACTTGGTGCAGCGGCTCGTTCCTCTGGTCCGTGGCCGGCTGCTCGGGGTCCACCCGGAGCCACCCCGATCCTCCCGGGGTACGCGGCGCGGGCACGGAATCGAAAGTGAGTGCCGGGTCGACTAGGGATCTTTCGGAAAGAGAGCGGTGGCAGCGGATGTAGCAACGGTAGCAACGGCAACGGCAGCGGCAGCAGCGGCGGCGGCGGCGGCGGAACCTAGCGGGCGACTATCGACCTATCGGCGCCGCGTCCTCCGGACTCGAGCTCTCGGCCGGGTCGCCGCGGGGACACCGAACTCGGCCCGGTGGAGTCCGGAAGGCGCGGGGAGGCGATGCGGGGGCCGGGTCCTAGGGCAAGTACGTTCGACTCCGGGACGAGTTCCGATTTGGGCGATACCTTGTCGGCTTTCTCTGCGCAGAGGGGGTTTGGTCTGGCGGAGGGGCTCTTCGAGGGTTTCCAAGCCGTCGACGCCCTCGCCCTCGTCGCCCCTCTCGCTGCTCATCGAACGCTGACGTTGACGCAACGTCGACGCATCGTTCAGCGGCACTGTTTTCCCACAATTCATTATGTCTTTGCGTGTATATGCAGTTCGCGATTTCTCTAGCGGACGCTAGGCGAACTGGGCGCGAACTTTCGTACGCGCGACGGAACGGAAAGGGGAAACGGTCGCCACGGCACGGGGACGTACCTTCGTTGGTTTGGGACGTGACGAAAGTCTTGATCAGCGTGTCCGTCGTCTGCGTGTACAGACTCAGGGCGTATCGCAGACTCTGCAGCTCCGGGGACTTCTCCAGGAAGTTCTTCTTCAGGCCATTTCCGCTCGCGTGGAAGTAGACCTTTATCGTGTCGAGGGCTACATCCAAGACGGCGCACTGTTTCGGAGACAGGTTCTTCTCCACCTCTTTCGAGATGTCCTGGAAGGAAGACGATCGGATCGGTTCTACGCGGGTCGGCCTCGAGAGAGCCGCGACGCGGATACCTACCATGACGCCGCTCAGAGCGTTTTTCACGTCCGGTTTCCCGGCCATGTGATTTTTAAAGAGCCTCGACATGTCTTCTATCTTCGCGTTCGCTGCCAGATTCTTAGCGTTATCCGTCAGATGCTTGAACACCATCTGCCGAGCAAGACGCGCACCGTTACCATCGAGGAAACCCTGTCGGAAGCGACGCGAGTCCACGACTACTTACGCTCTTGTCCGTCATCGGAGGCAGGACCACCGTTTTCTCCAGGATCCTCATGACGATCTTCCACAATTCCTTCAACAACCTTTTCAATACCGTCTTCTCGCAAGTTTGAGCGTACATCGAGAGACTTCCGTCCAACAAATCCATCAACGGCCGCAAAACTTCGTCGGCTTCCACGGCTACGGCATTCCTTTGAGCGGGCTGAGTCAAGGTAACTTGTCCTCCTCCTTTGATCGCAAGAAGAAGAACTCCGAGCTCGCGGACGGAAGCTATTATTCTCGGCTCGAGACTCTTGGCGAAGAGCATCGCCAGATCGTCCAGGACGCTGTTCAACTGTTGCTGCAACTCGTTCAGGATGTTCGCAGCGTCCTCCTCCAACTTCTCCCCTCCCATGGACTCGAACATCTTCTCCAACTGGACCCGCAGTTGTTGGATGTTGTTCATGAGGATGCAGGCCTGCGAGAAGCGAGAAAGGCAGGGGTAGGGTTCGCGGCAGATCGGGGTCGCTCGCGTCGCGTCGCTTACCACTCGTTCCTCCTTCAGGTGGCTAGGGAACTCCTTCTTGACGATGTCCGCGTACGCGACCAGGACCTTGACTATGGTCTTGGCGAATCGCTTCATGTACCTCTTCCATATCTCGGGGTCTGGACAATCCAGCCTCGAGACGACTTCGAAGCACTGTGTCAGCTGAGTGAAGACGTCGACGACGGAGCAACTGAAGAGGGAGTGTTCGCTGCTTCTTTGGAACTGGAACGTTAAACGGAAACGATTTGTCGAAACTCGTCCCGCAGTCTTCCGGGAGGGACGCTTACCCCGTCCTTTTTATCTCTATTGAAGGCACCGTGAAGATACTCCAGGGAAACGTCGTCGTTCTCGTTGAGCCACTGCATGACGAAAGGTTCGAACCAGGCTGGATACTCCGGTACCGCTCCTTTGTAAGGCGGCACGTCCTCGACGTAGTTAGTGTACAGCCATTTCACCTTGAAGTGAAGGTTCATGTAAGCCGACGACTTGCAGAGCCGATGCTGCTCGTGCTCCTCGAGGCCGTACTTCATGTCGACCGCGAAGACGGCCCACATGGTGGCGGCCGAAAGCTGCCCGATGTTCAGCTCCTGCGGGAACTGGTTCAGAACGTCGCCGTAGCTGTTTCGGTCCTCGTCGATCACCGAGACGATCAGGGCTATCAGCTTGTGCCAGAAGTCGAGGGAGTCCAGCCGGGGCCCGCTGTCCTCGGGGACCTTCTTTACCTCGCTGGGGTCGGCCTGGAACTCCCTGTTGTAGAGCTCGTAGCAGTGCTCGAAGAGGAAGTGATAGGTCGCCTTCAGGCAGGCCTTCACGCATTCCTTGACGACGGTGCTCGCTCTCGGCGGACTCGACAGCTCTTGAACCTTCATTCGGAAGAAGGTTATGCTCGTCAAGAGGTCCACCGTGCTCTTCAGGTCCATCAGCTTCTCCTTGCTCGAGGCCGGGAAGTTGTTGCGATACATCGAGAGGTCGATCCTTAACGAGTTGTGCAGCTGGTCCAGCAGCTTGATGAACTTCTCTTTCTGGACATTTACCAAAAGGTCGTTAGCTCGTCGGTGGGAGATTTCGCTCGACCGAGGGCATTCGGCAGAATATAATACCGATCCCGGGCTGTCCCCTCTCGTTCATCGGGGGTTCCTTGGCCAAGAGGAAACCCGGATAATCCGTTTTACCTAGTCTCGGACCCCGAGAACGTCTCTCGCGACGCCTTTAAATTAATCTTCGACGGCAGGAAACGCAATAACAAGTCCGGAGTGAAATTTCTCCTAGTAACGACGCCTCCGCGGGAGAAGCGATTACGAGGGGTCACGTATTCCTGGCAGGTTAACGTCGCCTTGACCGGCGCGTCGCCGGTGGTCGGGACGTTACGGGACGCCGGTCGATAAATTTACCGGGCGATATACCCCTCGTAATAACGTGCATTAAGCTCGGCCGGATGACGAAGTGTACTTTGGTGGCACCGGGTCTCTCGATTCGAGCGGCCGTTTACCGCTCTCGTTTCCACTCGCTGGCCGACCGTTTCGCCTTCCGTTTCCCCCGACGGGGGAAGTCGCCTTCGGCCGAGGAGGCGTGGAACTTTCGAAAAGAAGGGTCGCTCGTTGCGAGTTATAAATCGAGCCGATAGTCCGGATGCGAATAAAACGTCTCTTCCGTCACCGACAGCCGCCGTTTTTCCTCGGGTCTCTCACGGCAGCGCGGAATCCCTTCCCGAGGGCCGAAAGTGCACTTCTGGATATTCTCTCAACGGCGGCCTCTATTTCACCCTCGCATAAGGCCATCCCGTCCTCTCCTCAGTTTTTCCCCCATTTTTCTCATTTCTCTCGTAATCGCGCCCTTTCCCCCGAAACGGAGCCTAGCGGAAGATCCGCCACTTTGTTCGCGGAAGCGCCCTCGGATTTACCGAATCCCTCGCTCGCGTAAACCGAAGAAAGGACGGGCTTTCGACCCTTCCCACCCTCCGAGTCGCTACCGCGTTGATCGGTTTTCGTTAATTGTACCTACCGTAGAAAAGAAGGCTCGTTCCATCGGCTTCGGACGATTCTCCTCGCGTCGGGCGCACTTTGGAACCGTTCAAGGAGAGCCCGGAGGTACCCGAGTAACGAGGTTTTAAGCCGCGCGCGTACTTCGGTACGTATTCGTTAACTGCGTTCCCCTCGTTAAAGTTAGCGCAAAGTGCATTGTACATTTTTCCACGAAAGTGGTCGATTCCCCAGGTTCCCCAGGTACCGCGGCCGCACGGTAACGCTTCCACTTTCGTGCCCCGCGATTATTACCGAACTCGTACGGCCGCGGTTTCCGCCTCGGCTTCGACTTTACGGTCGCCTCGTTCCATAACTTGGCCCTTCCGACAGGAGTTTTCCCCTTCGCGCGGTCGATGCCACCGAGCGCGACCCCTCCGGAGAGGCGAGACTCACCCCGAAGTTGCTGGCGGCGAATCTGTCGCTGGCCGAGACGGCGGAGCTGGCCGTCGTGTGGGCGTAGTAGGCGTTGATGTTGGCCAGAAGGGTCGACATGACCGCGGGCACGCCGGGGCACAGATACTTGGTCGAGAGGCAGTGGAAGTGCCTGGAAGAGTGACGCGAGGTGACCGGGGGTCCGGGGGTCCGGGAGTCCGGAGGATCCGTAGGATCCGGGCGAAGGGGTACCACTCACGTCATGGCCTGGTAGATGCTCTCGATGCCGTAGCGCATCGCGAACTCGTCGACCAGCTCCTCCCCGGGCGGGTCGAAGTAAACCTTCCAGGCGTCGTCGCCCTTGGCCTGGGGCAGCGTCACCATGCCGTCGTTCTTCTCGCACAGGCTGTGGAAGAGGTTCTCGTGGAGGCAGGTGTACTGCACGTGGTACGGCGCCACTTTTTCTTCGCCCTTGATCTCGACGCTGATGTGGAGCCTGATGGCGCCGGAGACGGCGCTCTTGTCGGTGCGCTTCTCCAGGTTGTACCAAACGTCCATCTCGCCGGACAGGGTGCGCACCTCGATGATCGTCTGGCCCAGGAAGTCGTCGCTCTCTCGGGTCAGCTTCTGCCGCAACTTCGACTTGAGGTCGTTGTCCTCGTCCCACACGCGGACCTTGATGCGGTCCGAGGAGTTGTGGCACTCGCTGTCCGGAGAAGAGAGGGGTGGAGGTTATTCGCGGATCGGCCCCGGACCGTGGCCCGGTCGCGCTACTCACAAGTAGAACTTCTCGTGCCAGACGGGGTTCAGCTCCTGCGGCACGGTCCTCGTGCGCTTCTTCACCTTGCCGACCTGAACGGTGACGTAGGGGTCGGACGTGCCGCTCTTGTCCTTGGCGATGAGTCCCTGGGCGCAGATCACTGGAAGCGCGGGCGATCACGCGGTCAGGACGAGGTGGGTCCCGCGGGCCGCGGTCCGCGCGCGGCCGGGCCTCGGGGGGCGAGGTCGGCGCGCCCGCGGACCGGGCCCGTCGGTGGGACGGGCGGGGGCACGCGGTTCGGGGCCCGAACGGCGACCGTCCGCCCTCGACGCTCTTCGCCGAGCGACCCCGCGACGGACTTTCCAGCCATCCTGTAAAAGCGTGCAGAAGCTCGGCGCGCGTTGCCGCGGGTCAGGACCGAGGTGAGCGTACACGGAGGAGGCGAGGTGGAGATGCGTGCTGCGACGTCACAGACGAAGAGAGACACCCATGCCCATGCTACAAACTCTTTGCTTTCCGGTGGCCACGGGATGCTCCCTGGGTCGAGTTCCTCGGGGGCCTCTACCGTTTCGGACCTCGGCCGGGCTCGATCTCCCGGCTACCCGACGGTCACCGAGCCGTCGAGGAGGTTCGCGGCCGGTTTCGCGGCGGTTTCGCGGCGGTTTCGCGGCGGTTTCGCGGCGGTTTCGCTTCCAAAGGAGCTCGCACTCCGGGACCGATTCTTAGGACCGGACACAATGGACGCGGACTTCTCGTCCCTCCGTTCGTTCCCGGAGCGCGGCTTTTTTCGGCACCGCGCGAGACAAAGGCGCGATTGTTCCCCTAAAATATTTAGGTCCCTTCCGGCGCGTCGCGGCGCGAGTCGATCGCCACCCCTTACCGACGCCCGCGTCGATTTTCCCCGACGCCTTGCCGACCCCCGGCCAGGACGAGTCGATACCGTGCCTTCGATACTTATCGACGTTTCGATTAGCCGAGGGGCCGAGTTTTCCTGCCGTTCCGCTTTCCGGAATTCCCGTCCCAGCGACGCCCGCGCCGGGCCCGGGATTGCGGCAGCTGACTCCGCGCCCGTTTTAATTCGCGCTCGGTGAATCGGGAGATCCGATTACCGGAACGGAAGCGGAAGTGGCGCCAACTGTTCCGCCCCCCTCCTGGCCTCCGCGTCGGGCTACTCTTTCGCCTCTCGGCGGATTGGCGAGCGGCCCCGACTTTCTGGGTTAAGGATGCCAATTAAGAAGGCAAAGAACGGCTACCGCGGGCCCGACCGACCCGCGCCGCTGCGACTCCCGGACGGGCCCCTGGCCGCCGCGGGGGCGTCGGGGCGGCCGGCGCCGCACCTGGCTGTACGTTCAACTATCGATCCCGCGAGGCGCTCGCACGGAAACCCGCCCTACGCGCGACTCCGGCCGGAACCTTGCGCCCGATCCGCGAAGGACCCGCCCCGATCGCCTCACTCCGAGGCCCGAAGGGATCGAATCTCGGGGGTGCGTCACCTGTTATGGCGATCTTGCAGGACCACTTGCTGGTGCCCTCGAGGACCATCTGCTCGGCCTGCTCGAGGCTGTCTATGTGGGTATCCGGGTCGACTGAAAACGTCGTGCTGAAAAGAACAACGTGAAAAGTCATGGGCGGTTCCGGGGCCGGGAGGGCCGGTGACCGTCACTCGCCGCGGACCGACGGGGCCGGGTCGACGGATTCCGCAGACGCCGTCGTCGCCGACCTTGCCAGGGCACGAGACTTGTTGCGCTCCTCTTCGTGGCCCGCGGCCAACTTTCCTTGGCCCGCCCGCCGGGCGATCGACCGATCGTCGTCGTCGTCGTCGTCGTCGTCGTCGTCGCCGCCGCCGCGGCCGCCGCGGCCGCCGACCCGGTGCCCCGCGACGAGGACGCGCGCGGAATCCGCCGGCCCGCGACCGCACCTGCAAACCTGCAAAATCCCCGATTACCATTTCGACCACGCTGTCGGCGTTCGGGGGGTTACATCCAGCGACGATGCAGTACCACAGACAACACATTTAGCAGCCCGCCATACACGTCACGCACGCACACTGACAAATATCGATATAAACAGGAAGAAATACGTAAGACGTGAGGAGTGAACGCGCGATGCGGACGGGGAGACGCCTCTCCTCGACGCGCCTTAAGCGAGACGGGGCTCGATCGAGCCGACGTTTGCTGGGGTAACATCGATGCGACATCAACGGAGTCTACGCGAGACGACGCGGGTGGATTTACGTCGAGATATACATCGAGACCCGCACGCGCGATCGGAGACTAGAGGAGGCACGAGGGAGGACGTAAAGTGCGTCTAGTACGCAGCAGCAGCAGCCGCCGAGCGTTTCCATCGAGGCTTGCGGGAAGACAAACGTTACGGGTCGGGACGGGAGAGCGCAACGGAGGCTCACAAACCTGTAATGGCGATCTTCGCTGACCATTTGCTGGTCCCATCCAAGACGGATTGCTTCACCGCTGTCATGTGTCTCACGTGGGCGACCTCGTCTACCTCGAAGACGGACCTACGCTCCGACGACATTCACGTTGAGGACTACCCCAAGGTATCCCTTCCGAGCGCGCGACGCCTCCTTCGATCGCTCCTTCGATTCTCTCCTTCCGGCCTTTACTTTTACTCTTCCTTCCGCTTTTCGCCGGATTTCAGCCGGATTCCCATTTATCGGAACGCGGCCCGGGGTCGGTTGGATCGGGTGGACAAATTCTACGTCTACTAGCTCGGCGGAGCCGTCGAGTTGTTCGCGCATTTTTCTGAATCATATTTTCGGAAAAGGGGAAAGGCGGGTCCCGGCGCTCGATATTCCGACCTTAATCAGGCCGGACTCGGAAATTTTCCACGATTCGTTCACCCCCTGCACCCCGAATAGTCAGCCCACGGTCGGTGACGTGCCATGTAAGCGTGCCCTTAATTAGTGACGCGTAAAACGGAGCGTACCGTTAACGGCGTTAATTAGCCGTTTTCTCCTTTCGTGAACAGGCAAATTCAGTGCTTGACCTCGTCGCGCTGCTTTTCGAAAAATGGGAGAAGAGAAACGGAGGGTGAGATAGTCAGAGAAAGAGAGACGCGAAAGGCAAGGGAAATATTTTAGAAAAGGAAGGAAACCGAGTGGAAACGTCCGTGAAGAGCAGCCGGAAGGAGAGACCAACAACCGTTAAGACGAAACCTTCCCCCTTAGGAATATGAATATGAGACCCAAACGTGCGAGGATCCTCTCATCGCCTTGAATCGCCCCAGAGAGTGAAACTCGCGGCGCGTAAATACGAGATGAAAAGTTGGGAGTTGGAATTCGAACGATTCGCCGCGACGGAGACCACGAAAAAAAGGGAACTCTTCCCCGTAGCTTGAGCGCGAGCCTCGATAGGACTCGGTACATTGGAACGGACCCGCGCATCGATGGACTCTAAGAGGGGGCCGAGGATCCTCGCACCGGAACGCCTCGGAAACGAATCGCGACTCATTCGGCTCGGATCGAGTCGGCTTACCGAATCAGCTCGAAGATTTCCGGCTTCTCCCGCTCCCGCTGCTTCATCCTTTCCTTCATGGCCGTGATGATGCTGTTCGCTTTATCCTCGGCCCCGTGCTTCGAGCTCTTTTCCGCGGCCCCTGCGAACGGGACCGGTCAGGTTTCGCGATCCTTGGCATTTCGAGGGGAAAAGCGACTCCTCGCGATTCGCCTCCGTTGGAACGACGTCGGGTCTCTTTTCACCCGACGTTTCCGAGGACCCGCGCCCCGCCGCCACCGCGAAACCCGGCTTAACTGGGTCGGAAGTTGCACGTACTAATCATTCTAATGTGCCGGCTCGCGGCTCGGCGCCGATCGATCTTGGACCCTTGAAAAAATTCGCGGGGACCGACGCGAAGCGTCGCTTTCTCTCGGCGAATTGCCAACTACCCTCTCCCCGAGAGCCCGTCGCTTCCCCGGCGCGGGCGTACTCACTCTGTAGGCAGTCCGCGTTGAGCAAGTCCTTGCACTTCTCGTGGCATTTGACGCCGCACTCCATGCACCGGACCCCCTGCCGAGCGATGCCCCAAAGCAAGCCCTCGCACTCGTAGCAGTACGTCGGCGAGGTGGCGGTCCACGTTACGAAGTTGTGGGGCGTCGTCGAGGATATCGGGTAGATCATCGCCTGCAGCGTCTTCTTGTAGACGTGCATCTTCTGCGGATCAGCACCGTCGGGGCGGTCGATCAGGGCTGCGTTCGGGCTCCGGTCGGATTCGCGCCGGACCGGCGGCGCCCTCGCCCGACCTTCCGCGGGGCCGCGCACATGCGAGTCGGAGTCACGCAAGGTTCTACGTCGACTACGCGCGGGCGCTCATGCTCGGCGAGCGGGTCCAGGATCCGGTCCGCGGTCTTCGAGCGGACTAGCGGCGCTAGGGGGCAAGCACGCGACTCGCTAATGAAGCTCTAAGCGGAGTCCCTTCCTCGAGGAGGCGCGTTCTACCCTTGCCCTCGTGCGCTACGTCGAGGGGAATCCGAGGACGAGTCCTTCCCGGGAACGCTAGCGCTTCTCTATCCGTTTCGCGTGCCGTTCCGTTCGTACGAACTAACCCCGAACGTGCACGAGGCAATTCCCTGAATCGACGCGCCAAGAAGATTTATCGGTTCGTCGCGCGTTTCCTTCCTTTGGCGGATCGCCCAAACTTGGCTCGACGTCGTCGAGGTACGTGAAAAAAACGCGTTACCCCCCCCCCCCCCCCCCAGTGTTTGCGAGGAGGGCAGAAGAGATGATTCGGAAGCCGCCGATTCCCGAAACTCGGCGAAATCGACAGGCGTTTCGGCGAGTTAAACTCAAAACGGCCTTTCTCGAGCCCTCGGACGTAGATTTAAGTATACATCGCGGCAACGATCGTTCTTCCCCGGCACGACCTCGAGCGGTTTTTCACCCCGGGTTGATCTAACCGCGCCCGCGCGTCCCCACGTACAACGGGAAATTGTACGTCCTGACCAAGGACCTCCTAAATAAGCGGGTCAACGCACGTTCCTCCTATTCTCTAGAATTCTCGGTGTACATCTAAGTTTGCTAAGCCTTACTTGTGCGACTCGGTCGAACGGGAGCGCGGACGTAAATACGGACAGAGACAAACGTAGCCAGACAGGGACAGTGACGGACGGAAAGAAAGTGGAAGAGCTAGAGATTGAGCCAGACTTACGTGAAAGAAAATAGACAGCGTGGAAATGAGGGTAAAACGCAGCACGGTACGTATGAAAAGAAAAAATAGATAGTTGAGAAGTTAAATTAAAGTCGATCGAGCGATCGAACGGTGGGCGTCGCCTCGCCGATTGAAGCCAACTTAAAGTTAAACGATGCCGCGCTCTAATTGCGCCCTTCTTGAAACTCCCCGGGACGACCCTGGGGTTCGACGTTCGACGTATCCCGTCCTTTCTTCGACCTTCCCTTGGTCCTCGCTTACGGTCGTTCTCTCGATCTGCAACCTCGGGTGGACCGTCGAATCGATCCGTTCCTCCGAATGGGGATCGAGTTCGAGTACGAGCCTCTGCGCCGCGCGTGCCAACGCGGGCGTTGTTAAGGAAAATTCGCGGTATGTCTTTGCTATCGAATTCTATCTTAGTCCCGTTGCAAGCGATACGTCAGTCCCGAAGTAGATGCTCTTTCAACGAACGATGACCGACACCGAACTGTACGGTAAATATTCAAACTAGTTCTTACCAATTCCTCGTCGTTTAAGGTCGCTCTCGGAACGGCGGATGTTAAGCCGGCATTCCTCTTGGTAGCTGCTATCGTCTGAGAAAAGAGAAATATTAATGTATACGGGAAAACGTATTTACGGTAGCGGGACAGGTTAAAGAAAGAAGTAAAGTGGTATAATGAAAACGAATCGAATGTTAAGACAATGGCTCGATTAAAAGAAAGAGGTGCCAGGAAAAAGAGATGCCATCGTTTTGATTAAACGATTTTCGGAGAGAAACTGTACATGATTTCCAGAAAAAAAAAGGATGTTTATTCACAATTTTGTTAAACAAGAGCAAGCAAGAAAGGAACTTTGTGATGTGAATGCGTTTAATATCTTTACTTGCTGGTCAACGCAGAAAAATTTTGTGCTTATTTACAAGTGCAGACTATCAAAGCTGAAGTAAGATTCTATGTATTTATTTACAAGTATTCGGTTTATTCATTCGGGTCATGTGCTAAAGTATTTGAAAAATATGTGAGATAGGGTATCGAGTTTTGTCATTTCGGCAGTGGAAGTAGAGAAGCTATTTTTACAAACTTGACATTCCTTCGTTCGTTTCGTCTTCGATCAGACCCGGCATCTTTTCCTAACATTGTTAACGCTTTCTTCCTCCAAGTATCAATTCTTGACGAAATCGTTAATTTCGACGATTTCGTTTAAAGCGTTACTTTTTTAAATGGCAAGAAATCGATAACGCGGATTGCAATTTCTTTGCCGCTTCTAGACGTTTCCCATGCTTGCGAATCCAATGAACAAGAAGAGAATCTACGGAAAATTGAAAGTAAAAACGATTTGATCGACGCGTTAAGCCATAATTTATCACGACGTGAAAGGATATTCGCGGCCAAAAGGAGTCTCGTTATTAGCGAATTCATCCGAGAACACAAGTTTCGTTGCCATACTCGTGGTTCACAGAAATCGTGCCGTAATTCGAGGCGTGACTCGTTGCGTATCGATGTTATTTAAAAATATAAGTTAGAAATAAAGGAACGTCGTACATAACGTAGAAGGTGATTAAGAGGCAGAAAGTCGGGCGATGATACGAAAAAACGAAAAAACGAAAAAACGAAAAAACGAAAAAACGAAAAAAGAGAAAATGGTGCAACGCCTACGCAAAAAATCTAATTAATCCAGTCAGCTTCTGATGTTCGGTAGGCATCGCAGCGTGGGTTCGTAACAAGTATACAATACGGAGATTCGAGTCGAGGATAGCTAGTCGTCGTTGGTCGCGAAGCCGCTACTGTCTACCAAACCACCTACTCGACCTAACGTCGCCAATATTTTCGAGTCCGCTTAAAGTAAATTAATTTCCCTCCTTCCAGGTTTTCTCCGTGCCCTTCGTCTCTCGTTGCCGACCGAAAGGGCAAACGCGTATTCGCGCGTTAACCGCCTTCCGTGAAATCCGCGAACGCGATCGGGAGAACCCAAAGTGGGCGAACGAGCGCGGGCACGAGTCAGCTTTCCAATGGTCCTGGAAAGAAAGAATCGTCAACGTCCCTGCCACGAGGGACACGGGTCGTCGCGCCGCGTCGATATCGACGTTCGACGTACTCTCACCTACGCGTTCTCATGCACCGCGTGGAAACGCAAGGAACCCTCTCGTGCAGCCGTCGATAGGATCTCTCCGTGCGGGTTCGCTTCCCGGAAGCGTTGACCCGGGCCCCGTTTCTCCTTCCCCCCTAGTCTGCTACGATTTTGCGTGGCAAAGGTATTTCGCTCGATACCCACGGTCATGCTCTAGCACAGGCCATTCAGGAATGCATCGAGAAGCCATCGAAGCGTGCGACCACTTCCCATTTCTCCCCATAGAATTCCGTACTCTCCTCGCGTTTACGAGCGGGAGAGAGAGGGAGGGAGGGGCCGCGCACGATTCGTCGGCCGGGACGTTGCGGCGACTTACGTTCCGCCGGCGGTGCCGGAAATGCTGGAATCTCTTAAAAGCAGGAACCAATAAGTCGAACACGACTACTAGTTCGAACACGGGGGCCGCGAATCGGAGGTGCATCAAGCGGAGGAACGAACAAAGAAACGCGCTACCATCGAGCCACGGTCGACAAACTACGGAGAAGCGAGAGACTATCCAAAAGGAGTGACAAATGTACCTCTAACCCTTAACTTGACATGCGACGTGCGAGCAAGCTTAACGAAACTTCGGTTAAAGGAGGCTTTGAGTTAGTACCTTCAAGACCTGGAGGTAGAGTTTTGAGATATTTTTTGAGAAGGTTCAGTGAGTGGTTTTTTGGTCGGGTAGATACACAGAACGGGCGCCACAGAGAACAAACAAAGAACAGCATTATATGCCGGTTAGTGTTCGCGAACCTCGCGGAACGCGAGGTCGATTAAACGCGTCGTCGTTCGCTGGTCGAAATCGGCCAAGTCGGCAAAATCCGCTCGCTCGTTCGATCTCCTTCGGCGCGGCGACTCCCCGGTGCTTCGCGTTCGCCCGTAAGGAACGCGATCGCGACGAACCAACTTCGCCGGACGGATGGAAGGGAGCTTCGGCAGAGGGAAAGGGGCAGCGGTGCCGATTCCTCGCCGGACCAGGGTGAAGGCGCCCCCCGAGGACCTCGACCGGCGCGTCGACGGGGAGCCGACCGAAAGTCGGTCCGGCCCGGCCGGAACCCGGAAGGTCGGGAGGGAGACACAACAACGAGATGTTAAACCGTCGACAGTTCACATTCAACATTTAGGGGGCGGGGGGACACCGAGCGCCAGAGGCCGAGGGTGACTCCACTCGGAGGAAGCGCGGCCGCGGCGCGCCTCCGTTCCTTCTCCTCGCTTCTCCGATCGATCTTTGCGGGCCTCGCGCGTTCGGACTGCCTCCCGATCCGACCGAGCCCTCGGCCTCTGGGTGGGAACATTCAGTTGGCGGAGTCGACGTTTCCCGCGATCATTTCCGACTTCGATGCAGGGCACTCATACGAACGGGCCGGACAAACGGGGAAAGCGGTCGAAGCGCGCGACTCGGACGTGGCCTCGTCGGTTCGGCCGGCCGCGTTGCCGGCGCTCCGGCGGTCCATTGTCTTTGGCGTTCCTCCTATGGAGGTCCCCGATCCCGTGGATATCCAAGGATCGCGTCAAATTCCCGAGAGCGTTTTTCCGGACGGCGGGGTTCCGCCGATGGAATTCCAAATATCGAGCACTTTGGACGTTCCTCGATCGGAGACGAGCGATTATGCCGAAACGAGAACGGCGGAAACCATTCGAGATATCCCAGATTTTTCGAGATACCAATTTAGTCATCGAAAGCTTATCGCCGCGCCTAAAACCGAAACCACCTTCGTGGCCCTCGATTAGCCGAGACCGTTTTGGTGTCGCGACGTGCCTTCAAATTCCGCCATCTCGGCGCGATCTCCGGAGGAGTTTCCGCGATTCTCGTGTCCGTGAGACGGCGGGTCCGAACGATACCATAGACAAAGTCCGGTAAAACGCTTTAAGTCGCTCGACCTCATAAGTCGGACAAATGGGCCACCTAATCTCCTTACACTCCGTTCGGAGAATACCGTGGTCGGGTACGTGGGGCACTTGCTGCAAGTATACGTATGAGTATCCGCAGGTACATTTCGGTGGCAGTTTCTACAAGGCGAGCCTTGCATTTTATTGGGGGGAGAAAAAAAAGAAAAAGAACTTTCCATATGGTAGTAATCCTTAAGTGCACCGATACCGACTCCATTGGGTTACGTTATCACGTAGGCAACCCCGAACGAGGTTCCGCGCTGCCGCGAGCAAAATTCAAGACTCGAGTTATAGGAACGTCTCGTAAACCTCGCATCGGAGAGCTGCCGATACTTCCAGGATAATCCTAGATTATCCCGGAGCGTGTTCCGTTCCCGCAGATACCGCCGCGCCGCATCGCGTCGAATTCTTTGCGCGACTCCGTCCAAAGTGGACCGCTAGAAGATCGAGGAACGCGATTCCGAATTTCGATTAGTACTTTTTATTCGTATTCCATTCGACGAGTACCTTCCGATCGAGCGATCGTCGATGCATCGAATGGCACCGACAAACCCTCGGTCGAAAATTTGCGAACACGGAAGCATCTCGGATGGAAGAGCGTCGCTCGCAAAGGGTTGCCCGGAATTATCCCAGCGGATCGAGACACCGACACGACACGATACAACGAAGACGTACAACGATACGGAAAAACGTCGCAAGGGTCGGTTTTAATTAATAATCGGTCCGCGGACGCAAATACGATCCAGCCAGTAGGCGAGACAAGGTGTAAAGGACGTCACCGTCCTGGGAAATAAAGAACGGAAAAGGGACTAGCGTCGATTTCGGTACGTACCAGCTCGGAGACCAGAGGAATGGACTTGCGTCTTGGACGGATGTCCGGCATGCTGTCGATGTTGCTGTAAAAAGGGTTGTCCCCTGGGTGTCTGAAACAGGGAATGGTTTTACAAATTATTCGAGTTCCCGTCCAACGGGCCGGAAGCGGGTGCATCCGTCCCGTGGATGGTACGTTGGATTCCATCGAGCCGCGGAAGGCTCGGGCGAAACCCTCCCTGTCCTCTTATCGCGCATCGAGATAACCTCGGAGGCTCCTGCCCCGGGTTGCGTTCTTAGGATCCGTCGGAGACATTCGCGGACACCAACCTCCACTTTACTCGATAACTTTGTTCGATCCCCTTCAAGGTGCAACGAGTCGAAACGAGACCCTCAGCTCGATCGAAAGAATCGAGACAAAACGTATCCGCGGCCTATATTCTTGGTTATTAATTATTATGCTAACAGGGTCTTTCCACGGGTCGTATTTAAAAGGAGTCTTCGGAACGAGTTCGCGGCCTCCTTTCGCCCCTTTTATCGAATCAGCGGAATCGTCCTTCTCGGCAGAGACCGGGACTCCCGAGTTGGTTCTTTCTTTTCTCGATTTTGAATTTTCCGGAAGCGCCAACGGAAGAGGATCCGGCTTCGGCTCGGGACGAGCGCCCGACGATAATTCTTAATCTTGCCGACTGTGAAAATTGGAAAATTCATGAGGATTTGCCGGGTGCGCATCTCCTCGCCTCCTCTTTCCGGCGCGGCGATCTCGACGTCGGGGGAGCGAGAGGGCCGGAAGCGGTCGCGAACGGGACCGGAAATTGTCGGGTCACGTTTCCCGAGGCTCTCCCTCGGGACGCGTCGGACTCGTCAGGGAGTCCTTCCAAGGACGACGGCGGAATGGTCGAACCGAGCCTTTCCGCCCTGGACGAGCAAACGATGACACGCATGTCGGTACTCACCCGTTGGCTCGTCCTCCGGATTCGCCGCCAGGTCCGCTGCCGTTCTAACAAACAAAAAAAAACGAGTTTATTCAAACAAGCTCGACAACGGTAACAAAGAAAATGGAAATCGCAGTTCCAGGGTGCGAGACGGTAACGTGTGAGTGCGCGTGTACGTGTGTGTGTGTGTGTGTGTGTGTGTGCGTGCGCGTGCGCGCGCGTAGGTACGGTTTGATCGAGCGAGCGGGACCACGGAAAAGCGCGCTCGATCGGACCGGAGCGACGGATACGAATTCCGTAAACGGTTACGAAGAAGAAAGGAAACCGAGTCCCGAAGGTTGGCACGAGAGGTGGTCGGGATCGAAAATTGACGCCGCTGTCTCCGTGTTCTCCTCCTCCCCGGACGAGATGGACGCACGCGAAGGGAACCTGCCGGCCCCTCTCGAAAGAGACTTCCTTCCTGGCGGCTCGACTCTTCTCCGTTGACCCTTGGCGTCGTCCCTCGACGGAGCGGTCCTAATTAGTCGCGGGACGTTCCTCTTTTCCTTTTCCCTTCGACGTTTGCAGGATTCTTCTTGGCTTTCGCTTCGATCTTCCTTCTCGGCTCGGCTCTCGAGGGTCCCCGCGCGTGCCAGGGGATTGGTTCGATCTCGCCGAAGCGGAAGTAAGAGAATGTATAACAGCCAGTATAAATATAGTATCACTTATTACTCGTGAATCCGTCACGATAGAGATATACGGTATAAACTTATCGATAGCGTTAACAAGTATTTCCGAGTAGAGACGACAGACCGTCGAAGCCGAACGTCGAATTCGATGTCAAGAAATAGGCTTCTAGGTTGGTACTTCTCGTCGTTGGACGAGCGAATCCTCGCCGCTCGATATCGACTGCTGTTAATCGCGAGAAACCTTCCTAGCGTTAATCTCGACATCCCGGCCGTCTCCGGGTCGGAAACCAACGGTGGGCTCGAAAATCGGATGTCCCCCCGACGGTTTTTACCCCGGGCCGTCTTCGCTCCCGCGGGACGCGAATCGATGGGTACGATCGTTACGCGTACGCGCGGCCGCGGTTACCTCGGCGTCGAATAACGCCCGACGATTTGTCGTCCCTATTTTAGAGTCGAGACTCGGCGGTGAGTCTCTCGTTTCTCTTTTTTTTTTTTTTTCTCTCAACAGTCTTGCCTAGGGTTTTTCTCCTTGCCCCATTTGTACCTGCCTCGAAGCCGACAACCAACGGAGTGTCTGATATAAAGTGACGCCAACGGAAAGTCGTCTCACCGGAAGGGATCCAGGGCTGGGCCTTGATTGGTCCTCTCGCGGTTTTGCCCTCCCAGGAGCAATGCCGACGTCGATCTTCCGGCGACTCTTTGGAATCGACTCGGTGGTCGAATTCGCATTTCAAATCGACGCGTTCTCTTTGACTCCCCTTGTTCACGGGAGATTGCAATGGAAATAATCGAATCGCGGAATGACGAATTTAATATTAACCACTGACTAGGCCACTACTCGGCCAGAAATGCAATCGAACCGCGGGTACGTTGTCTCGTATCGAGCCCCGTATACCCAAAATAGACGAGACCCGATTTTTCGAAAACAAAGAGGATTCCAAGCGTTCGATCGTGCCAACGCGCGTCATCGATGTGACTTCGATATAGCGTGAACTTTTCGGGTAATCCGTTAATCGATTTAACCTCCCAATCGTCATATGAAAAGGGTGATCCACAATTCGCCGCGGAATATGCTTTATAGAATGCGAATCTCTGAGCAACTTGCAAATTGATTATTTTCGCGGACGACGTTGCGTTTGGGAAAGAATCGAGTCAGGGACGCGACGCGGTCGTTTCGATCGTGATGTCGGAGTAAACGGTGCGCAAAACTGCTCGGGACAAAAGCTTCGTATCAAAAACGCTCATTGAATGACAAAAATGGGCAAGAAAGGCACGAGAATTTCATCCGACCAGGCATTTTCGAAATGGTATTTCATCGATCGCGAATAATCCCAGAGATATTCGTGTCCCTTCCGGGGAAAAACGCTTTCCAGGGGCCAAGAAGAATAAACGAGTGTATATATATATTTTTTTTGTTTTGCGTGTATATATATATATCATTCGCAGAGTCACTTCACGAGTGGATATTGACATGCAATACTTAACGACCAAATATACTTCCTTTCTCTTTTACCCTCCTAGGTTTACTTAACGGTTCGTCTATTAGGCCTTAATACCAACGTGGCTAACGTCTCGTGCAGTCTAACTTCGCTGGACTAGGAGCTACGTGAAAGCTATTAATGATCTTGGCTGTATTTACGATCGATATCGATGATTTTCGTCGCTTATTAATGATATGACACAATCGGACACGATGACGAACGATAATGATATGGAAGAATGATAAGAGGAGATACCGTCCTCGTACGACCTCGACCGTTTACCGGACGATCCTTTCGCGTTAACCCTTCGGTCGTCGTTGGGTCGGCGGTTGGTCGACGTTGACGGTCGAGTGCTTAAACGAGCTACTTTATTCTCTCGAAAGACTCCCTGGCTCACCGCTACCGGCAGGTTTCCGGTCCGAGCGCGCACGCGCAGCCAATTACGCGTTCCCCGAACCAGGAAGGTTCCCCTTGTACCGAGGAAGCAGGTCGCGGACGTAAAAAGAACTGTCCAGAATCTACCGGGAGCCCGGCAAAAGCCAGTGTACGTAATCGAGTCGATGTTTCACGGTTCGCCCCCTACCGCGGTGTTCCTTTCCGACGACGGACGCGTATTGCCCTGGAAAGGGAGCAACCGCGAGCGCGTTCCATCGCAACGTACCGTTGGACCCCGGACTATCTGGCCCAATCCGAGACGGTCCCGCTAACTCGCGGCGTAAAGAAAAGCTGCACCGGGAAGGAAAACGGCGGCGTAATCGGGTGCTGCGCGCGCGCGCTCCGTCCTGCGTCCGAAAACGTAGAAATGTAGAAACGTAGAAACGACGGGTGCGGCGCGCACGCGGACGATTCGTTGGCCGGGATCGCCGGATGCCAGTGGTAACGGCGAGACGAGAGGACGACCCAAGCCCTGTCCAGCCCGAGAACGCGTCGAGGGCGACTCCACTCTCCTCTGGCCCTCGGACGCGCCCGACCTCCCGATTCCCGTGGTCGAGGGGACCCTTCCCTTTCTCTCTTCCTTCATTTTGCCCGAATGTCGCGCCCTCGCCAATTTTCCATTTTTCCCCGACGCGTCAACTTTTTAATTGCCGCGAAGCTTTTAATTAATGCCCCGTTCCGGCATCCCCGTCTCCGCCATTTTGAGCCTTTTGTAACCTCTTCCCTTCTCTCCATCCCCCCGCTCCGCCCTTGCAACCTTTTGCGTCTACTTCTGTCCGGCCCTTCTCCCGATTTACTCGGTTTCGCGAAAAATAATGCTCCTCGAGCGAACGACGACCGCTCGCAAAATTAATTGACCGAACGAGTTCGGGGGGCGTCGCGGCGCCGGTGAAACGGACGGACGTTTGACCGCGCGAGCCACCTATTTAATGCGAAATGTAATTTGAGCAACGGAAACGAACAAAGGACGAACGTCGCGCTGTATCCAATGGAATCGATTCGCCCGTCTCTATCGATCGGCGATCCTTTCGAGAGAAAATCGATCTCGAAGCAGTAGCCGGAAGGCCAAGCGGAGCCCGTGTCCCCGACCCTGCGGTCGTCTCCCGTTGACGCGCCAGGGGGACTCGGGGACGCATTTATCAAGGGTTGGGACAGGGCCGAATCGTCGGTGCCTCTCTCGCTGAAGACGGGCGAAGACTCGTGCCGACTCTCCGCGGACGCTGCTACCACATCGGTATCGCTATAGTATTAATTGACACTGAGACACTACCTCGCGGTCGATCAGGCGCGTGCGTGGCACGGCAAGGGCAGCCGCGCACTCGCGATAAGGGACCGCGAGCCGCTACCGACCAGGGCGAGGGGTGCATCTTAGGCAAGTGCGGACGAGGATTCCCCCCTCGGCTCGATCTCGGATCGATCTCGAATCGGTGACCGAACGGGGAACGAAGGACCGAAGGAACGCTTCCTTCTTGCGCGGCTTTGGAAGTCCCAACGATTCGAGGAAACGGGCCGCGCGGGATTTCTTCGGATCGCGTGCGCGAGCGACGCGGTGGGCGCGACCCAACTAATCGACTACCGTAATTAGGCGCGAGCACCGTTAGTATAAAAGTGAGAAATAGGGTTTCGCTCGAAAAGAAAATACCCCTCGGGCGGCCTTCCGATGGGTTTCCCCTCCCCGAGCGCGATCCCAGCCCCGTTTCGGTGTCGGGGTATTCGATCCGGCGGAGACGATGTCGAAGCGTTCGCGTTTTTCTACGGTTCTCTCGGATCGGCTCGATAGGGAAATTCCAACGTTTCCACGGCGGCTTTGTACGGCTACCGATTGGACGTTCAATTCATTTATGCGACCCCATGCACGAGAAAAAGTTAATCGAGCCGTGGAATCCCCCGAGAGGGACGATTCGACTACCCCTCGAGAATTTTCCCTCTTCGTTGCGGATTTCTCCGAAAAATCCGCCCGAAAGTCGAGCGACCGCTGTTTCCATCGGTTCGTTTCGTCGCGGCTCGAAAACCATTCGATGGGCTGGCTCCCGAATTTCGCAGACAGGACGAAAGTACGATTAAATCCGCCAATAATTTCCGGGCGTTTCGCGTTTCTTCGCTCACCCGATAAAAGGTCGAATGCCTCGCTGCAAAGGAGTCGACCATTAGGGCGCTTTACGAATAAAATTGCGAAGCCCCTTTTAGCCCCTTTTAGCCCTTCTCCGCCCCTCTCGTTTACCGATCCAGCCGAAATTCAGAAGAATTCCCCTGGTCGAGCTTTCCGCCCGATTCCGGTTCAACTCCCGAACTGGATCAAATCGGTAGACGGACGATCGTCGGCCGAGATCTTAAGCCGCATTTCGACGTCCTCGAGGCTCGAATTTCGAGGCTATATTTGATCAATCATTTGCAAAGAAAGGCAACGATCTTGAGAAGAAAAGAGAAAGAACGGCATACAGAAGACGAGCGGTGAAGCCGTCCTCCTGGAAGATAAATAAGGAATTTGAATTCCATGAATAATAATTGCCCCCGCGATAATGGGCTCGAGAGGGGCCCCCGCCCCTTTGCGTTTGACTCGGTCTCCGAGCTCCTTGAATTTCAAGCGGACCTCGAGCGCGTTTATTCCTCCCCGTCGATGTAAGAATCTCCTTCCAGAATTTCGCCCGGGAGTTCCTCGGTTGCGATTTCTGCGCCCTTCGGCCAACGCCCTCGACTCGTAAGGTCGGAGATCGTCCCCGCCGGACGTCCCGACGCGCTCGGACCAACTCGTTCCTTCGCGGAAGCGCGTTGTTCACCGTCGGGGCTTTTCCCGATCGTTTCATCGCGCAGGAGAACCTTACGCAGGCGGATACGATTGCCGTGCCGAGTCTCGGTAGAAGCGGAAGGTGCCACTCTTAAATGCTAACACCGAAACGCGTAGGCGGTAGCGACGACGCGCTGTCGCGAAACTTTAAATACGGAAGCGAGTACGCATCGACGACGATCGATAGCGTCTCCGAGGACTCCAGCCGTTACGTCGCGAGGGAGATTCGATTTGGAGCTCGTATCCTTTTCCCCGACCTCCGGGTCCGGAACGAGTCCGGAACGAGTCCGGAACGAGTCCGCGTCCAGGCGATGCCGGGGCTCGGACCGTCGCCCTGCCCTGAAGTGTAAGAGTCTCCGCCCCTGTCGCGTTTTTCGGCAGTTTCGATGGTACCGTCGAGTTCCCCCGAACCCTGCACACACGGGGGAAGGACCCACGGGACGGGGCGACGACGTTTACTTTAACGTCAGCCGCACGTTTTGGGGAGCGGCTAGAGGAAAAAGCGGGACGTTCGCATTAGCGAGACTCGTTACGGATTCACCCTCGGCAAGAACGGCCCACGAAAAATTGCCGGGGTTTCGTCGACGCGACCTCCCCTTCGACCTCGTCGGTCCGACGCAATTCTACGGATTATACAAACCGAATAAATTTTGCTTTATCCTCCAAAGGGCTCCGCTCTCTCTCTTTCGAATTTCATATTAGTTCCAGAGTTTCGCTTTACGCGTCGATCGCCGATGCTCCGTAACGGCCTTCGCTCCTCCCTTGAAAACCCGCAGGGAAGTTCATATAAATCAGGGATGATTCGTAAATGCGGTTTCGATGTACTCACGATAGAGAGTATCTTCGTAGCGAAGATGCCGCGCGTTCTCGAATTTCCCCGGCGCTATAGGTCCAAAGACCGTAAAACCGCCCCAAAGATTCGATTCCGGCCACGAGATCTCGCGACGGCGATTCTTTTACGGTTCGGTGTAGGATCTCCGAACGACGAAAGCGAACGAACGTTTAAGGGCCCGGGTAATCGTTTCGTCTGCGGTGAGACGCGCGAATGCTCGGCAGTCTCCCGAAAACGATCTTCCCTGCAAAGCGCGTTTAATCGTAAAGCACCCTTTAATTATACGTTACACTACGAGCTTCTCCTCGACCTACGGCTGGGAAGGACGCGGACGTTCCTCCCGGGTCGAAGCTCGACTTTTGGAGATCCAACGGGCGCTCGTCCACGTCCCAATCGTCGTCGTCGACCCCTCTTACTCCGAGTATCGCTCGCACGATCGGCGTCAATGGCGTCGTTCGAAATTGACCGTTGGCCGGAGCGCGACTCGACTTCCACCCTGGGTGGAAGCGAGGTCGGCAGCGGGGTCCTCCTCTCCCGGCGTCGGGCCTCAGACCGCGCGAGCGGGGAAGCAGGGGACGCACCGATAGAAGAGGACTCCGAGGCGAGATCAGGACCTCGGCCAGCCGAACCTCGAGTACGCTTTACACAGGCTCTCGTGTCCTCACTTGATCATGATACTCACAGCCGTCGGGGCCTGAGCGATGGCGGCGTCCTTGGCGTCCTCGACCTCCTTGAGCTTTTCCTCGGCTTTGCGCTCCTTCAGAGCCTTGAGCAACTTCCACTTGGAGCCCGGAGGTCCGGGGCTGATCTGACCGTCCTTGAGAGTGGCGTCGGAGCTCCCGCAGGACGAGGAGTCGATCTTGATTCTGGGCAGGCTGAGAGTGGTGTTGCCGGTCTCGGCGCTGTCGGCGCCTTCCCGCTCGCCCTCGAGCACGGTGCTCTCCGAGCCCCAGGTCCCGGGGATGCTGACCGACACCTCGCTCGGAGGGACGCTCACGCTCCCTTCGCGAGAGAGGGAGTCCGAGCCCTGCAGGACCCTCTCGCCCTGCCTCAGGGTGGACCCGCTGGAGCTGCGGCGAGACCGCGCCTCGTTCGGGCCCTCTTCCCCGCCGACTCCGTGCTCCTCCCCCCCCACCGGCTCCTCTTCCTCTCCGTCGTCCTCCTCCTCTTCTTCCTCCGCCTCCTCCTCGTCCGTGGACTGGCCCGGACTGTCGGGGCCGGAGGTCTCCCCGGAGGAGCCCTCCTCCGTCTGGAGGGCCCGCTCCTCCCTCTTCGCGTCCTCGGCGTGCGCCCACGTGTGGTAATCCGTCACCCTGGCAAAGAGGGTCTCCACGCTTTCGGCGTCCTTCTTCTTGGGAATGGGTTTCTCGTCGCGGTATCTCTTGTCGAGGTCGCCGGAGCTCCTTTTGCCGTGCGGACTCTCGCCGGTCTTGGTGGCGCGGGGTCGATCCTCCTTCTCCGCGGGAGCGGCCTCCTCGGTCCTAGGCTTGGCCTTGAGTCGCAGTTCCCTCAGGACGAAGGACATTCGCTCCTTGACGTCCTCGCCCGGCTGGGAGGGCTCGGCCTCCTCGGGCTCCTCCACCAGGATCTCCCCCATCTCGCTCTCGATCTGAGTTTGTCGCTCCAGCTCCTCCAGCTTCCTCAGCTCGTAGCAGTACCATTCGTCCTCGGAGTCGATCGAGTCCTCGGTGCTCTGCCTCCTCGACGAGACCCGGGAGGTACTTCTGTGGGAGTGCGTGCTGCGGTTGTCCTCGTCGCCCTCCCCCGTCCGTCCCGCCCACGGGATGTCCAGGGACTGCTGATGGCGCGGTAGGAACCTGCTCCCGGAGAGGGGGTATCCCCTCGCGCTCGACGCCGACGGACTTCCCTCGGAAGGCGGCGCCTCCTCGGATATGCTGGTCACCAGCTCGGGCAGCCTTCCGGTCTTCTCGCTCTTCTCCGAGACGGCGTCCTCGGGGAATTCCGCCGTCTCCGAGGACGTCGGAGCGCCGTCGTCGTCGGACCTCTTCTCCGTCGTCGAGTCCTCGGCGATCGGCTGCTCGTCGGAAACCGTCGACGACTGTCTCTGTCGATACTTCCCCAACGCTCTAGAGACCGCGAACTCCATGCTTGCTCCGCCCATTAGAGTAACGGGCGGCAGTTTCGGGGCCTTCTCGTTGGGCGCTTCGTCGGAGCTCCCGGTGGACCGCTTGATGTCCCCTACCGTGGCGAAGATGGAGGAACCTCCGGAACCGGAACCCGTGCTTTTCCCGGAAGCCTCCTCTTCGGCCGCCGCCACGAGATCCGAAAACTCGTGCTCGCTCCCCTCGGGTTTCCGCTCCTTCGACCCGGCTTCCTGGGTCACTTGCTGCTGCAACTGCTCCTGGTGCAGCTGGATTTGCTGTTGCAACGCCTGTTGTTGCTGCTGGAGACTCTGTTGCTGTTGCAACAGGTACTCTTTGTGCTGCTGCTGGTGCTGCTGCTGGTGCTGCTGCTGCGGCTGTTGCTGAGCTTGAATTTGCTGCGGAGGCGGCTTCCTTTTGCCGCTGCTGGTCTTTACTTTGGCAAAGAACGGAGGTTGTTGGTCCTGGTTCGCGTCCGACATGACGCTGTCCTCGTCCTCGGACAATCCGCTCTGCCTGCCGCTACTCCACTCGGTCTCGGATTGCTCCGGATCCGACAGGGACTGAGACTGGTGACTTTTACGTTTTGCCTTTTGCAGGATCCCGGAGACCGTCGAAACGAGCGTGTGTTTCTTCTTTTTCCGTAGGGCCTGGGTCCTGCCCCGTCCCCTGGTGCCGGACATATCCACCGACGTTCTTTGCTGAGGCACCGCTTCCTGAGGGGCATCCAGATCCTCTCGCCTTACGCCCCCCGGGAGGGATTGGCTCCTGTGCCGTTTACTCAAATGCAAGTCCGGGAGCCAACTACTCATGGAGCTCATCGCGTTTTTTAGAGACGAACCGCGTCTAACTTTCTTCGTCAACTTGGCTTCTTCGTGGTCTTTAATGTCGGCGGATATGCTGATGTAGCCCGATTGCGAGACTATAACGCTCGAGGCATCAAAGTATTCGGTCTGTTGCAGCTGAGACTGCTCCGAGGGAATTCTCCCGCTCTCGTGATCCTGAATGTACTGGTGCTCCCTTTGCCATTGCCTTTGAAACTCGTCCGTCAGCTGAGCGCTTTCGGAATGCGTGAGCAGCTGGCCGTACGGCTGATACTGTTGCTGGTACGTCTGAGGATAGTTCTGATTGGCGTAGGTATGATATTGCTGAGCCTGATAGGCCGGAGGCTGGGGATATCTCCTGTCGGTGTAAGGACTCTGCGAATAGCTTCCGTCGGAGGTGAGCGACCTGATGCTAGAGGAGGTCGAGTCGTGGGGGATCTGACTCTCCATGGAGTTGAGCCAGGAACTCTCGGTGGTCTCGGTGCGCGGGAGGTTCGCGCTCGTCGGGTAGTACGAGAGAGCGTCGGTGATGTTTCCGGTGGGGAACATGGTGCGGTACATCGCGTTTTTATAGCCCTCGTGATTGGACATCCCCTCTCCGCAAGACAAGGCCCTGAGCGGCTTTTTGGCATGCGACGACATGACGCTCGCCGGCATCATTGCCTCGGTGTACTGCAGCGCGGCCACGTTCTCCTGGAAACCGGAGTACCTGTCGGTGGTCTCGGGGTAGTACCCGGAGGACACGTTTCTCCAGCCGTAGGCCCCGGAGCCGCTGGTGTAGACGCTCGTGATGACTTGCTGCCGGTTGCTTCCGGCCACCGAGTAGATGGCCGGCTGTTCCGACCGATAGACGTAGTCCGGGGCGGGGTCGGTGGGCACGGCGTCGTAGGCGTGTTGCAGGCTCTGCTGGCGCAGCCGTTTCTTTGGACTTTGACAGGCCGCCACGCTGGGAGCCGGCGGGGGGACGAAGCCGTACTCGTCCTTGGCGGCCGCCAACTCCATGGCCGGGAACGCCGAGAGGTGGTTGGCCACGGTGGCGGGCGCCCCCGCGGCGGCGGCAGCGGCGGCGGCGGCGGCGGCGGCGAACGCGTCCCTCCCCTCGGGAGTGTCGTAGAGCGGTTCCTGAGCGACGAAGGCGACGTCGGTCTCGGGCAGCGGCGGGATCGGACTGGCGGATCTCGGAGCCTGGGGCGCGGGAATCAGCGGAGCCCTCGCATGGTCCAGAGAGTACGACGTCAGGAGTTTCCCGATCGAGCTCTTCGGGGACCCCGGGGACTTGTCCAGGCTGCTCCAGCCACTCATCGAGGACAGTCCCGAGTCCGACTTGGCCGCGACGATGTTGGCGCTCCCGGCCTTGCCGAGGTGCTTCGGCGAGATCTTGGGGGATTTCGGGGAATGCGGGGTCCTGGGACTGAGGCGACCCTGCTCCATCGAGACGATCTTCTCGGCGCTTCTCAGGAAGCCCGGACTCTGGGCCCTCTTCGCCTCGGGGTCTCTGGCCTCGGAGCCGGCCATCAGAAAGCTCTCGCCGGTGTCCCTGGTGTCCTTGGGTGCCGGCGGCGGCGGGGAACTCGGGGAAGGGCTCGGCGGAGTCCTGCTCTCGGGAAAGTCGAGGCCCGGCCTCGCGCCGCCGCCGAAGTATCCGTCCTGCCGGGTCCGGAGGCTCTGGACGCTGTGGACGCTGTGGACCGATAGCGTCGGGGAGGGAATCTTGTCGGCCGTGGGGCCGTAGACGGTCGGCGAGGCGCAAGTCACCGCGGCGAAGCTCTCCACCATGAGGTCCGTCAGCTCCTTGTTCTCGGCGTAGCCCTTGGCAAAGCTACCGACGTCGATGGGCAGCTGGATCACCGGCTCCGCGTCCTTCTCCAGGAGGCCGCCGGCGAAGCCCAGCCGGGACGGCGCGTAGCTCGCGGCGGCGGACTCGAGGTTGGTCCTCGGCGCCGAGGTCGGCCTGGGGGAGGCGGATCGCGCCGCGAAGTCGCCGTCCGTTGCGAGGCCGCTGTCCGTGCTCACCCTGGAGACCGAGCGACCCGTCGAGCTCGGACTCTTCGAGTAGGTCCAATTGTCCACGTCCGTCTCCGCGTAGATCTTCCGCAACTGCTCGTCGATGCTGCTGGCCTCCTCGGCCAGCTTGGCCTCGGCCTCGCTCGAGTATTGACGTTTCGGCGACTCCATCAGCCTGGTCTGCAGTTCCACCAAGTTCTGCGAGTCCTTTTGCAACTTGCTCGTCAGTCTGTCCAATTCGTCGAGTTTCTCCAGAGCCACTTGGTCGATGGAGCTCAGTCTGGAGAGCTGCGCCAAGTCCTGTTCGCTGATGCACGGCGTGTTCCCACGATAACTCTTGTAGTCGGCCGCACTGAAGACCTCCCCCGCGTCCTCGTCCTCCGGGGCCAGCCCGTCGCTCGTCGCCCGGGCCAGGTCCTCCGCCTCCGGCCCCGGGGCAGGGCTGGTCTCCTCCGGGTCCTCCCGCTCCTTCCCGGGCCCCTTCTTCGAGCCCGCCTTGGCCTCCCCCTCCTTCCTGCCGTTGGCGTCCTCCACCTCCTCGGCTTCCTCCCAAATCATGCCCAGCTGGGAGGTCGGCCTGGACGTGTCCCCGCAAATCAGATCCTCGCGGTAGGCGTTGTTCAAGCTCCTGTAGAAGGCCTCGTCCGGGGCGTTGACCTCCTCCTCCAGAGTCTCCAAGGTCTCCAGATTTCGAAGGTTCCTATGCGCGTCGGTCGCCCCAGCCGCCGCGGCGATGCCGTCCTGCGCCATACCGTGCATCCTGGCCATCTCCTGATGCGCCAGGGCGTCCCTCAGGACTTGGGCATCCTCCATCCCCATGGCCGCGCCCAGACTCTTAGCAACGTCGTCGAGCTCCGTGACGGAGCCGTGCCGACCGGCCAGGGTCTCCTCGACCGCCGTCGCGGCCTCGCCGGCGTGCCCTCCGCTGGCGTAGAACTCGATCAGCTGGCTGATGACGGTCTGCTGCTCGTAGAGCAGGCCTTCCAGCTTCTCCAGCCTCTCCCACATCTTGATGGACTCCTGGCTTAGCAGGTCCAGCGCTCGCCACGCGTACTTGAGCTCCGTCTCCAGGATGTTCAGCCTCGTTCCCAGCCGTTCCATGTAGTCGCTGATGATGTAGTCGATGTTCTCGTCCCCGGTGACCCCGTACGCCGGCAGGGCCGGAGAGCGGGATCTGGGGCTTCCGGCCGCGGGGCCCCCCACCTTCGTCGACTCCATCCTCTTCTCCGACTCGGCGAGCTCGAAGCCTCTTCCCGATCGAACCGATCAAGCCTCGACCTCGGCCGGTGTCCTCGCCTTGGGCTGGCCGCGTTCGTCGCACTCCTCACTGTCCCGATCCCTCGATTTCCCGATGCACTGCGCTTCCTGCGACCCGAGCACTTCCTCGTCCTGCCTCTCATCCATGTTCCCAGATCGAGTCCGGATCCGACTCGCGGTTTCTGTCTCTGTCTCCGTTCGACCGATCGCTTCCCGACCAAACCCGCTTAGTTCGAAACGCGCCTCGCGCGTCGGTCACTTTTCCCCGGCGAGGCGACCTCGCCTTCGTCGGGTCCCATCGTTTTATCTAGATTCTAACGTTCTACTACTTCCGATGGGCGTTCATCCCGCCACGGCAATCTGAAAGCAAAGCGAAGATTCGTTCGCCGGGGTTAACGGCGGCGAACGTCGGCCGTTCCTCCCTTGCCGCCGGTCAGCTCCCGCCGTTCGATCGCTCCGAACGTCGGGAATTGACGCGGGACCCCGATGTCGCCGAACAGTTTCCGTCAAAAGGGCGCGTTTGGATGGCTCTCCTGACACGACGACCTAATCTCCCCGAACGGGCCTCTCCTCCGGTGATTACTCGAGCGTGCACGGATTCGGACCGTCGACTCTCATTTACGCGAACCCCGAACGACGACGGGAAGAAATTCCTTCCTTCTGGATCGAGCCTCCCGTGGGAAGATGATTAAAAGTTATCGCGCGGAGTTACGATCGCATTTATATCCCCGGGGAAGAGTAGCGTTGCGCGCTTCCGGGACGCGAGACGAGCGGCTCGGCGCGGTTAATGCGATGTCGCCGAGAAGACGAGCGGAAGACCCAAAATATGGAGATGTTCCAGAAATCGCCGATATTCTTCCGCTCGATTGAGTCGGCCCGTGTCGGCCCGCCCGGATATTTCGCGCCATTCCCATCGGGCCTCTTCGACTCGATCAAACGGGACGATTCGCTACGGAAATATCGAGGGGCGCGATGCGGGAAAGGGTCCTCGGATTTCTGCCCTTCGCCAAATGTATTTTCGATAATCCGAAGACACCCACCGTTCGGATTAAAGGCGATGTACGTTTTCCGCGACAGGGACGTCGCTATCCGAGGCGTCGCAGGATCCTGCCAAAGGTTTTTCGACGTCGAACGATCCGTTACCGGTCGACGGCTGGTCGTCGATGACTCGCTCCACCGGAAAGTGGAATTAGGAAGGGAAAAAGAAACCACGAGAAATTTCTGCAGTCACGTCGCGACCCCGAAGACTTTCCCACGACGTTGCCGCGAACCCGGGAAAACTCCTTAAAGCGGAAGCGAGGCCGGCGCACTGGCAGGGCTTCGCCGTGCTCGATCGAACCGAAGCTGGAATTAACGCGGACGCGTATTTTAACACCGTTAAGTCCCTCGTGCAGTTTCCACGAGCAGTCGCTCGGAAGGAACTAACATGGCGCGAATTCGCTCCGAGCCGAAGAAACCAAACTCGGATAGTCCGCGTACGTCCTTCTCCCTGGACCGCTGACCAATTTCTCAAAAACTCCTGAATCGATTTTTCTCAAATATATGGTATGTTCGGTACACTTATTGGTCTCGCCCTAACTAGAATAATTGTGATATCTGTCCTAGTTTTTTTTAGCAAGCTTAAAAAATCGGAAGTAAATTTTCAATATTTGCATTTGACCCGAGTTTCGGCTATAGATACGATTGCCCGGCATGTCCGGTTGGAGAAAGAAAGGAGAACCGCTCCGTAAGTACAAAAACCTGCAAATTCGCGGACTCGAGTAAGCACCGTTGGAGCTTGGCTTCATCTTCGAGGATAAGGAATCGAGGAATTCAGTTCCCGACTCGCCGACTAGATTTCCGCGATCTCGAATGGACCGATCGGAGATGAAAAGCCGAGAGAGCCCACTCGAGCGCTAACCCCCTGGAACTCGTAAACGAGCCGGAAGACCGTCCCCCTCCCCGTGATTCCGAAAAGGTGGATCGTCGGCGGAGCACTGTATTTCACTCGAGTGGTCCGAGGGTTGCGGCGGCTCCGGAGCAACGTTCGGGGATTCGAGGCGCGAGTCGACCGACGCCACGGGACGAACGTTGCGTAGTTATCGATCGGCGTGCCACGACGAAACGGAGTCGACCGAGTTTATTTTCGTCAGCCACCGGGAGCAGTTCGGCGATCCGTGCTTCCGCGGGATTAATAAGGGGAAAGCGGCAATTTTTATCTGGTAATGTTTTCACGCGCGCGATAGGAAACGCGCCGTCGAATACGTTGCTCCTCTACCTTCGTGAAAACGATCCAGTCCCGCAGAAGCCAGGCAATTTTTCAGCCAACCAACGGGTTCGGGCATCGTTCTCTCGCATGACGCGATCGAAGGGCAAACGGAGCCTCTAATCGATCCGATTAACTTTATCGACAGGGGATACACCCGGGAGCGTGTCCCGAAAGATCGATGGGAGATCGGAGACACCCCGGGGGAGATGCCGGGAAACCCATCTCGTCCCCGTCCGCGCTCCCCGAGGGGGAAAGAGCTCGGGGACGGCGCTGGGTTCCGTAGGTTGTAGGTCGGTAGGTCGTTGGGTTTCGCGGGAACTTCTTCGTTTCGGAGGACCCTCGCCCCTCGGCCGCTCCCTCTTTAACGGGCGATTAGAGTTTCGACGCGATCGTCCCGACGAACCTCGGGGCTCCGAGAAATCCGGTATCGCGCGCAAACGCGACGTTTCTTTCCCTCCGCGGTAATCGATTTCACCTTCCCCGCGTATTTCCATTAAAGATGGAGAATTCCGTATATGCCAGGTCGTTTCCATCGAAGACCGGGTCCCTCGCTCCACTTTCCAATAAAGTTCAGAGCCCCCGGTGGGTCCGCGACGCGGCGTCACTTTGTCTTCGCTTTGCCAAAGCAAATCTCCATCGCCCCTCTCCGCTTTGTCCCTTTTGCCCTCCCCTTTGTCCCGCAGTCGAAACATTAATACTTCCCTGTGAAGTGCGCTCGCAAAGAAGTACCACCGAAACGATTTAGCATCCCTATAGATATCTCTTTAGCGAGTTACGTCCCGAGCGGTTTTTCGTCCCTCGCAGAGAAACGGATTCCCGTCTGGAAAAAGTTGGCTCGCGAACCGTACAACCGTATACTTTTGAAAAGGAATCGAGAGCTCCGATCGTCTCACCGTCCGTCCAAGGGCTGAACCGGAGTCGACGTTCGTCCCGGTATTCTCCCGCTCTCCTCCTTCGGTCGCGACCACCACCCCGACGACTCGAACGTCCGAGTATCCAGACCCGATTACCCGCGGAATCTTCGATTCGTCGGGAATCGGGAATCTCTCGACGAAAGTGCCGAAGCCCGGCGTAAGCTCCGGCATCGATGCATACGAGACGGCGAGAGTCCCGAGGCAGCAAACGCGGTACTTTGCTCGGCCTTTATTCCCTTCCGCCTCTTCGCCTCCTTCGGCCGAAAGCCACGGGAATTTATGCGAGAAACCAGGCCCGGGGAAGATAGCGCCGACGGGGAAAGCAGGTTTCCCGGAAAAATCCGAGCTCTCGGATCGTGGGATACGCCGAGAACACGCGGCGTCCGCCCCGACCCCAACGCAGTCCCGGATAGTCCCGGATAGTCCCGGATAGTCCCGGATAGTCCCGGATAGTCCCGGATAGTCCCGGGTTCGCGACCCGGCTTTCACTCGCAGCCTCGGGATCAATATTCGCCGACCCTCCGAAACCGCGACCGAGTCCGCCCCCCTCGACCCTCCTCCTTCCCGAGGATCTCCCGATCCTTCCCGTTTGACGGCACCTTTTTACGGGCGCGGACGACGCCCGTCCGCGATCAAATCCTAAGAAACGGAGCAGGTCCCGGCTGCGTTTTTTGAGGGCCCGCACGGTCCTCCGGGAACAACCGGCGAGAAATGGGACAGAGCGCGATCGATCCCCGCTCCCTCTTCCACCCCCGAGGTCCCGAGGACTCCGATTCGGCCGCCTCGGAGATTTTCCGGGTGCTTCGCGTCTCTCGTGTCCCTCGTCGACCCTCGAGGGCGACGCTCGTCCTTTTCGGTCGACGAGCGAACGGACTCGCAGCGCGGAGAAAATCGAGCCACCGCCGGAGCGCCATTCCGTTCGTCGGGGGACGATGGGTTTTATTTCTGGTTAGGATTCTCGGCAGCCGCTACAAAAGCGAGCGCAGTGGCATCGTTTCCCTTTCAGCGCTCGCCGCTAGCGTCGCCGAGGAGCGCCTCCTCTTTTCAGCCGCCGCGGCCATCTCGAAAGTCCTCTTTCCTTTATGCCCGAGCGTCGAGTCGAGACCGACACGACCCGGTACGGGGTCGATCCCTATTGTCGTTAAATAGGGGACAAAAATTGATAAGGTACAAAGGAGACGTCCTTTCGGAATCGAACCGACGCTAACGTCCGTTTCTTCCTCCATTCGGTGGGCGTCCTCCTCGCGCAAAACTTGCCACCCGTTGCGGTCCAACTCGGGAGACGTCGCGGCAAACCTCAATTAATTCCGACCGAACGTCCCGACCTCCTCGCGGCTGCACGCCGATTCCCGAAATTTGGACCGCTTCCAATTTACTCCGAGCCTCTTTCTCTCTGGCGCTTTCTCCCGCCGGCCTAATCCCGATTCCGGCGCGGTGGAATTTCAGTCCCGGTCCCGACTTTCGGCTTTGCGTGGGAGCGCGAACGAGGCAAGGGATCGAGGGATCGACGGGTTCGAGTCTTCGGATGTCCCGAAGAGAAGAGGAACGAGCTAGGGCTTCGGAGTACCGGAATCCCCCTGCGGGATAAGAGCGAAGGACCTTGCACTGGGATCGGAGTCACGGGAGGGGGGACTCTTTCTTACTTTCTCGGATCTACTTCCCCTCCGCGGCCCTCGGCTCCGGCGAATCCCATCGAGCCGGAGATCCTCGCGAGGAGCGGGAGGAACGACGGGTGGGAAGCTCGTCGTCCGAATCTGGTCGGCGCAAACGAGTCGTCGATCGAGTCAAGATAACGAATG